ATTACTTCTGTTTAAGCTATTTATGTCCTGCTGATGATTTAACAGATCCGGCTCCAGCTACTACTTTTGCACATTTAGATGCAACAACAGTACTTAATAGAGGTTTGACTGAATTAGGTATTTATCCAGCTGTAGATCCTTTGGATTCTACTTCAAGAATGTTGGATCCTGTAACTATTGGGGAAGAACATTATTCGATAGCCAGAGGTGTTTAGAAACTATTATAAGATTATAAGAGTTTATAAGATATTATTGCTATTTTAGGAGTTGATGACCTTTCTGAAGAAGATAAATTAACAGTTAGTAGAGCTAGAAAAGTCTAGAAATTTCTTTCTTAACCTTTCTTTATGAGTGAAGTATTTTCAGGTATGCCAGGTAGGTTTGTTGATTTGAAATAAAATGTAGCTAGTTTTAAAGGTTTATATTTATTTATTAATTTGTTTTTATATTTAAATTTAAAAAAAAAGCTTTACTTGAAGGTGCAGGAGATGAATATCCTGAATCTTGTTTCTATATGAAAGGTGATTTAGAAGAAGCTTTATCTGACGGAAGAAAAGCTGCTTTGAAATCTAAATGAAGATTATTATTGTTTTATTTTTTTATATTTTAAAAATAATAATTATTAATATTTATATTTTTTTTTGATTTTTTTTTTTTTTTTCTTTCTCATAGATATAAAAAAACAATTAGAATTAATTTAATTATAAACTCTTTTATTTATATTTTTAGTATTTTTTTTGTTTAAAAATATAAGAAACATTAATTAAATTTATCAATATAATTATTTTAATTCCTGTTCTAAATCATCATAAGACTTAAGTTAATTTTCGTAAACTTAAGCCTATTCCAAAAGCCAATTATTGTGTAAAATTTCTTTAACACTGGGTCTTTTTTCTGAATTAATAATCAAAAGAGACTTCACAAAATATTAAGCTTTATCTGAAATCCATTTCTAGAACATAAATTTCCCTTCTTTTATTTTATCAAGTGTTTCAGACTAACTTTCCTCATAAAAAGGTGCTACACCTTACAGAAGTTAATAAGTGAGTACTCCAAAAGCCCATATATCAACATAAATATCATAATTTTACCCATTTATAATTTCAGGACTTAAATAATCTAATGTACCACAAAATGTATTTCTAATATTTTATTAATTAGATTTCCTTGAATATCCAAAATCTGCTAATTTAGCAATTTCCTATATTTTTTTTAAAAAAATAAAAAAAATAAAAATAATATATATACATTAGTTATAATAATATTTTCAGTTTTAATATCTCTATGCATAATATTAATTTTATGTAAATAAGAAATAGCTTAAGAAATTTAAAGTAAGTAAAAAGCTGCTTGAGGTTCTTTTAAGAATGTATTTTATTTTTAAACTCTTGAAAGTTAATTTCCTTATGCATATTCCATTATTAAATAAAAGAAATTTCCTTGTTTAAAAAAATAAAAAAGTTTTATAATATTAGGCTAATTTAGAAAATATTAAATCTTTATTTCACAACTAAATTACTCTTCCATTTCCATTTCGATTAATTTTTATATATTAAGTTTCTTTACAGCAAAAAGAAAACCAGTATATTTATCTTGGGCCAAAAAAACCTCAGAATGGGATCCTTTACCTAAACTTTTGATAAAAATAAAACTTTAGGAGTTATATTTGAAAGGATACTAAGGTTTTTCTATTGATTAGTTACATTAATCGATATTTTCGTCTATTTAAGTGGAACATCTTTTATTTTATATACGTTATTCAATAATACTTTCATATGTGCTCATTATTTTTTTGAGTTTAATGCTTTTTTCTTATTATTAAATATCTATAGAGCCTTCATTTTATTAAAAATTAGATATAAGAAGTTAGTTTGCTTGAAATTTTGATTTTATTTATTCTTAAACTTAGTTTTTTCTTAAGCTTTTTTCTTTTTCTAATTAATTTATTATTTCCTATACTTAGGTTTTTTATGTGTTTTTTCTAAGTGAAAAATTTAATTTATTATATTGTTATTTATTTTAAAGTTAATCTAAATTCATTTCACTATTATTATCATTTGCATATTATAATTATAATTAATGTTAATTAGGTGAATGAGTATATGGAGATAGTGAAGTTTAAATAAAATTCTTTTATTAAACATTAGAAGGAGAAATATATCCTATTTTTTAAATTGATTATGATTATTATGAATTTTTAATATATTTATCTAAATTTTTATAATTATATTAATAATATTATTCATATAAAAAAGAATTATTATGATTATCATTATCATTATTATTATTATTATTATCATTATTATTATTATTATTATTAATAATATTATTATTTTTATTTTTATTATTTATTATATCATAATTAAATTATTTTTTATTATTTATTTACGAATTATTTTAAAATTCATTTTATTACTGTTTATAATTTGAATTATGATTTTCATTTTTTTATTCATTAAATATGCCTAATTATATAATATTCTTAATTGTTTAGTCATTATTTATTTTTTTAATACTATTTATTAAAGAATTATTCAATAATTCATTATTTTTGGTATTAAATTTTGATTAATAATTTTAATTTTTATATTCATTATTATTATATATAAATTAACTATAATTTAAACTACTTTCAATAAAACTATTATTATTATTATTATTATTATTATTATTATTGTTAATAATATTATTAATATTATTATTAGTTTATAAATCATAACTATATTATTATTTATGATATGTATAATTATTTTTTTAAAATTCATTATTTTATATTTAAAATTTTTATTTTAAATTATCCTTTTTATATTCATTAATATTAATGATTTATTATTCTTAATTATTATTAATATTGTATTATTTATTATTACTTAATTATTATAAAATTTCATTTATATTTGGAGTTTCGCTTTTTGAATATTAATGATGATACTTTTTATTTTATGTTGTTCCATATTTAAATTTTACTTCTTTTATTGTTTTTTTTATTTAATCAATATCATTTTAAGAGTATTTAGGTATTGATTTTGATTATTAATTTTAAATACTATTTTGACTTTACAATGCTTTCTTCATTTCTAATTCTTATATTATCTTTTTTGAATCATCTAAAATGTATTATGTTTTATACATTATATTTATTTTATAATTTTTTTAATGTTTTTAGTTTCTTTTTGTTTGTTTTGTTTTTTGTTTTTTTAAGTTAATTAAAATTTTATCCATTTAAAAATATGTGGAATTTTATAAAATTATATATATATATTTATATTTTTTTACATGATATATTAAATTTATTATTTAATTAAAAATTCTATTAAAATATATACATTATTAATATAATTTTAAATTAATAAAATAAAGAATAGTTTTAAATAATTTTTTATTTTTTTAAAAAAAATAAAAATAGATTAAATTAATTAAAATATTAATATAAATCATATTTATATTAATATTAATTTATATATTTATATATATTTTTATTTCTGGAAATATAATTAAGTATATGATATTTATTTAATTATCGTATATATTATCATTTTAAATTTATTTTTATAAAATATAAAATATATTAAAAAATATTAAACATTTTTTATGTAGAAATATATTTAATATTTTTTACTAAGTTTTATATTTTTTTTAGATTTTTTAATTACTTATTAGTTTGATTATATTATAATTACTCATTAAATTTATCTTTAAAAATATATGCCACAAAATATAGAAAATTTAAAACAATATAGAAAATTTAAAAAATAATATTTATGAATATAAAAATAAAAGCATAAAAATGTCAATAAAAATTAATTATAAAATAATATTAAATATTATTAAATAATATATTAGATATTTTAAATAATAATTAATATTTAATATATACAAATAATATTTTTAATTTATAATAATACAATTTATATTATAAATAAAATTCTAAAATAAACTAAATGACTTTATATTGAAATTATAACGAAATATTAAGTATTTTTTTTTTAAGAAATATTTAACAAAGAAAATGAATATAATAATCAAAATATTTAATTTATTTAAAAATTAAATATTTTTAGAATTAAATATATATAATTACTAATTAAAATAAGATTTTTTAAAAATTATAATAAAAATAATAAAATATATTTTTATTAGTAAAAAATTTAGAAATAAAAATAATTAATTTTTTTATAAATATTAATACAGCTTACAAATCAAAAATAATTAAAAAAAAATATTAAAAATATAATTAAAAATAATTATAATTAGACAAATATAATTGTTTTTAAAATATAAATGTTTAAAAAAACAAAGTTAATGTAATATATAATTAAAAAGAATATGCTTTAAGAATAATATGATAATAATTAATAACATATTTAATTAATAATTATTTAAATTAGAAAGAAATTATAAGAATATGTATATATCTTTAATTAAAAAATAAAAAAAACATATATATACATGTATATCATATATATATTTATCTATATAATTATTCATATTTCTATATTAATATCAAATAATCTTTTTTCATAAGTTTTTTATATTAAATCTTTAGGAAATAAAAATACAAAATTATTTTTGTAAAATTTAACAACTTTCATTTATTAAAGACATTTCTTGTATTATATTTTATTCTTATTCAGAATCATTTTACATTTATTATTAAAGTTATATTAATTCTTCTATATATTATTATTGCTATTATGTAAAATTTCCTATTATATTTTACTTTTTTGTTAAATAATCTTATATTATTTCTTCTAATGTACTTTTTTATGTTTCATTTCCCTAAGATTAAATATTTAATTATTAATTTTCGTTTTAGCTCATTAAAATTTTTTATTATATTATTATTTATTTTTTTAGTAAAATATAAGTTTTTAATTATTTATTAATAAAAAAAAAATTGTAAAAAAAAAGAATTCATTTAAAAAAAAATATACTTTTAACATTATTTTATTTTTATTATTATAATTTTAATAAATCTTTAGTAATTTTTTAGTATTACTATTAATTGTCACTAGAAATCAAATTATTTTTTTTAAAAAAGAAACTATCTTTGAAAATCTTCTCTAAATCATCCATAATAGATTATTTTGGCAACATCTATTAAGAAAAGCAAGATAAATCTTTAATATTATTATAAGCGAAAATAGCAGGTATTATATTTTTCTTTTGTTCCATTTACTTAGCATTTTTAAGTATAATATCTTATTGTTTTTATATATCTTCTGTTAATAGACTAATTTTTTCTAGTTTTTTTTACAACAAATAATTATCTATTCTTTAAATTAAGAATTTAAAGTCATTAATTAATGAAACATCAAGAATTTAATTATTATTAATATATACTTATTGCATAATATTTTCTAATGAAAAGGGATCTATGAGTTTATTTTAATCTTCGTTGTAAAAAAAAGACTTAAGATTTTATTTAGAACCAATTAAATTGTTAAAAATAATAAAAACTTTATTTTAAAAGGAATTATTTAATTCACTATTAATAAAATTGACTATTTATTAAACATATTATGATAAAATTAGTTTATCTTATTAAATTTAGGTACTATTATAAATATCAATCTCTTATTATAATAATAATTATTATTATTATTATTATTATTATTATTATTATTATTATTATTATTATTATTATTACCATTAATTTTTATTTTATTTTTTCTTATACTTAGAATTTTCGCAAAAATTTAAAAACTCTTTTATTATTTCTTCTAATTTTTCACTTTATTTACAACCTTCATTTAATTTATATAATTATAATGAAAGTTTTTATTCGTGTTAATTTCTTTAAATTTTTTGAATTTTTTTTTATTTTTAATTTTTTTCTTATTATCTTATTTGTTTTTCATCTATTTTTTAAAAAAATTATGTGTAATCACCTAATTTTGGTAGTATAAATTTCTATTTTTGGCTTTCAATTTATGTCAAATTATTATTTGTGGAATACGATGCATTTCTATTATGAAAATTTGTTTAGTTTTTATCTTTAATATTATTAATGGATGTCAAAGGAAAAAAGAAATGTTTTATTCTTATTTTTTTAAACGTATTTGAACATCTTAAAATTTAAAATTTGGTAATATTATTCGTTTTTAATAAATTAAACTTTCCATTTTTTTTACTTATTTAAAATTTTTGGTAAATAATGTTTTTTTAATTATTGTATTATACTGTTAAATTAAAATTTATTTTTTCTTTATTGTTTAAAATTTAATTTTTAATGGTTGTATTTATTTATTTATATATATATTTTTTTACAATCTAAAGAAATGTATTTTTGTATATTTAATTATTTTTTTAAAAAATATTTTATATTTTATAATGGTAATAAATTACTATTTATTATTGATAAAATTAATATTATATCAACAAAATATATATATATTTAAAATTATAATTTCATTATATATATGAGATTTAAATTGAAATGTAAATAATTCAAAGTTTTATTAATATAAATTATATAAACATTTTTATTTTAAAACTAAAATAATATAAAATATGTTTATTTTTTTAAGCTTTTTGTTATATTATTTATTTACTCATACTTTAATGCATTATGATAATTTTAAAAGTATAAAAATAATAAGAATTAAATTAATTTATATTTATAAATCAAAAAGAAAAAAAACCATTTAAAAATAAACTTATAAACAATTTATATACATGATAATTTGGCAACAAAAATACTTTGCTATTATTTTTTATATTTCATTAATTAAATATGTGTTTAATGATTTTTTGTTTGTTTTCAACTTATTAATAACTTTTCATATTCTTTATATTAATTCTATTAATTAAAATTAAAAAACCATTAAATATATATATATATATAAATATATATATTATATATATATATATATATATATATATATATATTACTTCATCATAAATAACTCTTATTGTCAAAGAACAGCTTGGACAAGTGCCTATATCATTATTATTTTTTATCATTTCCTATTAAATACAATTAATTTTTATCTATTTAATTTTAATAATTTTTAGATTTACTAAAGTTATAACAAATCTATCACCACAAGGACAAGGATATGTGAAAACTCCTGTTTCTTCATCAAAATCCATATCTTCAATTTCAATTTCATCATATACACCAGCCATTTTCTTTTTTATTTTTATTTAATTTTTTCTATTTTTTTATATATAATTTATTAATAAAAATCAACATATTATTTTTTTTGTAAAAAAACTATAAATTAAATTATCATTATTTTATTTAATTTATCCTTTCTATATAAATTATATATGTAACTTTAATATTTTTTACATTAATTTACAAATATTTTTTAATTAATAAAGTCATACTATTTTTAGTTCTGCATGAAAAAAAAATGCCAAAAACATCTAAATTTTCATATAAAAATACTTAGTTTTCAAAATATAAAAACATTTTTTAAATTAACATTTTTACATAAAAAAAAAACAAAAAAATTAATTTAAAAAAAAAAAAAAAAATCCACAACTAACAATTAACTTGTAAATATCTAAATCTCCATTAATTTTATCACATCAAAATGAATTTGAAGGTTATTAAAAATAACCTAATTTAAAATTACAGTCGCAAAATCTTTTATCTATGATATATAACCAAATTCTAGTCTATACATTATGTAAAAATATTATTATCACCTATTTCTTTTTTCATAATCACATGAATTATGACATTTAGAAGACCTTTCTTTAATGAATCAAAATTTAAAAGATTCGAATATTCCATTTTAAAAAACTATAAGGACTACTATTGTCAGTTTATACAGTAATTTGAAATTAAAGGTTTTTGTGTGGAATTCACGCTTTTACATTCACATAATAACGAAGGCCATTTTAAACTACTCCAAACATAAAAGGTCTTCTGTTTATATTTGCTTATTATTATTATTAATAATTTACATTTGAGATGAATTATTTTATCATTTGTGATATGCCATAATAGGCTTTTGTTAGACTGAAATAACTTACCCGCATGCTATGAGAAAAAAAATTATGCTTTCGTTTGTTTACAAATAATTGGCGATTTAAAATATTAAATAATTAAATTAGTATGCTATATATAAATTTTAAATTACATTAAATCAATTATATTATACTTATTAATGGTAGTAGGTAGTAAATCTTTCATTTTTTAATATATGTTTAATCTGTTTTTTTTTTGATTATTACATTTATTAAAAAAAAAATACAAAAATATAAAATAAAAAATTTATACATTTTAATATAATGATTTTTAATAAATTTTATAATTTTTGTTATTTTTAAATAAATTTATTTTAATATAAATATAAAATTAAAAAAAATATCTTTTAATTTAAATTCGATATATTTTTAATTATTTTTATCTAAATATAAAATTTTAATATGATTTTTATTAAAGTTGTTAAAACATAAATAAATATTCAAATAAACTTTATTTTTAATTATTAAAAATAAATAAAATGCATTATATATTATGCATTAAATATTTAAAAAATTTAGTTTATAATAAAATTTAAATTAAGATTTTTTTTAAAAAAAAATATTATCCTTTACTATATATATTAAAAGCATAAATTAAATAACATTAATTTTAATTAAATTTGTAAATTTTTTGTATTAAAAAAATTATAATTAATAATTTTATATTAATATTGTTAACATATTTAAAATCTATTAATTTTATTTTATAAATTTATATTATATATGAATCTTTTAATAAAATAAATTATTATAAAAAATGTATTTAAATATAATAATTGATTGTTTTTATAAAAGTAATATTAATATTTTTTTATGTAAATTTTTATTAAATTTAATTTATATTTGTTTAAATATAGAAAATAATTATAAATCTGAATAATAAATTATTTAAGAAAACATAATTTAATAAAAATATATTATTATAATAGCTTAATTTATTTCAAAGTTAAAATAAAAATGATTTTAAAAAATATAAAAGAACAAGCAAAAGAAGTATAATAAAGAGAGTATTAATCGCATATATTTATAAAATAAAAAAATAGAAATTTATAAATGAATTTGAAAATAAAAATAAATAAATATTTATAATATAAAAAGTTTAAATAATTAAGATAAGAAATTTAGTGATCAAGATAATAAAAAATAAAAATCATTTAATTCTTAATAAATTGATTAATTAACTAATACAAGTAAATCAAAATAATATTTAAAATAATTATTTTATTGTATAAAATAAAAGAGGATAGTTTTTAAGGAGAATTATATAATGAAGAAGATTTCGATCATTACAATTATTTTACTTAATTGAGAAATAAATAATAGGAAATAGAAAAAATGGATGCGGTTTAAATATAAGAATTTAAGATAAGATATTTATATAAATATATATAGAATATAATATTTATTTATTTTTTAAAAAAAACAAAATTCGTGCATTAATACTATAGTACCTTTAGATGAAAGAAATAAAAATGAAATAATTTTGTAAAAAATACCTGAAAAAGGTACATTGTTAAAGTTATCTGATAAAGTAAAGACATTTATAAGATTTTTTATAATAATAAAATAAAATTTAGTTTATTATGAAAGCAAAAAAAAGTAACTCAGGTAAATAAGAATTAGATGATAATAAATAAAAAAAGATTAAAGTTAATTAAAAAATTAATTAGAAAATAAGTTTAATTAATTACTCAGATTCTTCTATTAGTTCTGGTTAAGATTTAAATTGAAAAAATATGTTTATATATAATAAACCTTAAAAATTAAATATTTTTTTTAAATCATAAAATAAAAATATCTTTAAAATTTTCAAAAAGAAAATATATTTTTAATTAACGAAAAATTATTATATATTTTTTAAAATATATAACATATTTTAATATAAATATTATTTATTAATACTAATTATCATCTTATTCTGGTTTTAATTTAAAAAATATATATTATATATAGTATTATTTAAATGTAAATATATTTTTTTTTTTAAAAAAAAAAATAACTTATATTAAAGATATTCAAAGTTAATAAATTGTTGATTATTTAGTTTTTTAATCTAAAGGACTAACATTATTATTTTTTTCAGTTTTTAATTGATTACATTATAAATCGATAAATTATTAGCTTTTAAAATCAAATTAAATAACTTGATTATTTATTAAAGATTTGGTAGATTTGGATGTAAAAACTTTACTTTTATAAATTTCGTATTTATCCATAATTTTTAAATCTTAAAAAATTTAAAAACTAAAATTTTAATTTTTATTAAATTCATGTAATTAATTAAATTCATGTAAATAAGGACCTATTTTATTAATATTAAATGAAATGTTTTTTAATTCTAATAGCCTTATATTTGGATCTACTGTCGCATTTGGTAATATTTTTTCATCTTTGACAATATTTGTCAGTATTTATTATTGATTTAATTTATTTGTATTTTTTATTAGATTTTGTTTGAAGTTCTCTGTATTTTAGGAGCTAGAAATATAAATTTAAAAAGAAATAGAATTAAATAAAGATTATTTTACTTCATTAATAGATAAATATATTTTTTAATTTTCATTCAAAGAAATTTATAAATTACGACAGCTTTCAATAAGTTATATTTATGAATTTTTTATAGTTGAATTATTTCTAATTTTAAAAGTAGAATTTCGAAATCTAATATTTTAAAGTGTTTAATTAAAAGGACTATTTTTAAAATCAAGGATTAAATTCTTTTTCTTAGTACTATCATACATAATATTAGTATTTTTAGTGTCTAAAATTTAAAAATTTTAAAAAGAATAGTTATTAAAATTATTAATACTATTGTTATTGTTATTTTTATTATTGATATAATTATTATTATTATTATTATTATTATTATTATTATTATTATTATTATTATATTTATTATCATTATTATTATTATTATTATCATTATTACTAATACTATTTAATGTTTGATTATTATTTATGCTATATTTATTTAGATTATTATTTATACTATTTTTTTTTTTATTATTATTTTAGTTTTTATTTTAATTGTTAGAATATTCTATTTTTTTTTTTATTAATTCAATTAATTATCATTTTTATATTTTTTATATAATTAATTCGATTATTTAATATTATTTTCGTTAAGTTAGAATTCTGATATAGTTTTTTTTTTTCTTTATTTTCGAAAATCAATGAACTTATTAGTGAAATCAGTACATACATAAGTCTTTTTTATCAGTTTTAATTAATACTTTATCCTCTTTATTTTAAAAAATTATTTTTAAAGAAGGAAATATTATGTTAAGTTATTTAGCAATTTTACCAATTTAAATTTCCTATATATATACTGGTAATTATTATTGTTCTTAAATAGTCATATAATCTATTAAAGTATAAACATTGTTAATTAAACAACTCATTATTAAAAACACTTATTTTGAGAAGAAATTATTATTTTAAGATACAATATTAATGACTTATACTATCTTTTATCTAATTTCATTCATTCCTTTTAAATAAATTTAACTATTTTTCAAAGAGTTTACCTTTAAATTAATTAAAGATAATTCATCAGTAATATCTTGCATTTATATAATTATAAAAGGCTATTCTACAGTTTATATTGCAGTTTTTATTTTAAAAGTTTTTATTTTTTTTCCTTATTCCATATAGTCGGCGTATAAAACATCATTTGGATTTAAATATTTTACGTTTTATTTTAATTATTTTGTGTTTTATATTTCACTTTTTGACGAACTTTAATTCAAAAAAAGTTTATTTTGTTAAATTTTTATATGTAAGAAATGTAGATAATCTTTCAGGTTTTATATAGATTCGGAAAAATACATATTTTTTAATTTTGATTTAGTCTTATTTAAATGGACATTTTGCAAAAAATTATTAAATTCTTCCAAGCTTTAGTCTATTTTATATTTTCGGGATTACTTATTGCAGTTATGTAGGAAAATACGATTTGTTATCTTATCATATCTAGTTACTATTAATGGATTTGATAATATATTGTCCAGAATTTAGTTCCAACTGGTTTATTTGTGGTTTTCGTAATATATTTACCTTTATTAGTAGTTTTGTATGTATTTAAATATTATATAGAATGATGTTAACTGTATTTAACTTAGTATGTAGATTTCATCAGGTTTTAACATTAAGCTTATGGATATTTAAGCTAGTATTAAAGACAATGAATCAAGCAAAAATGATTAGCTACTTAATAAAAAATATGAAGCTAATCCCTTTTTTATTAGTTTTTATTTTTGTTTGTTTGTTATTATTTTATTTTATTTTTTAATTTTTTTTATATTTACTTATCCTTCCATAAAAGCTGATATTCTTGACATTTTTTCATTATATTTCACATATGTAGAATAATAAAATACATAACCAAATATTATAAATGGGTTTAAGTATTTTAATAGGAATTTAAAATAATAAGTAAATACAATTATTAGAAAAAATGAAACAGATATTGCAATGTCTGATATATCTGCAATGTCTCTAATTATATAGTTTATTACCTAGATTAATTCAAATATAAATGCTATTTGTATTTAGAATAATTTCTATTTATTTTTGTTTAAGAAAATATTATTTAATTTTTTTTTATGATCTTTTATTAAAATAAAAAAAACATTTTATATATCTTTTTATTAGTATTCCTTTTCCATTATTATATTTTTAAATTTTAGTGTATATTTGTTTAAAATTTGTTTATTCATTTTCTATTTATATTTATACAAATTAAATTTATAGATAATTTTAGTTATTTATGCTTTAATATAACATAAATATATTTTATTTTTATATATAATTTTTGATTATATTTTTATATTTATGTATCATATCACTATATTACAATATAAATACATAGTATTGTTTATTATAAAAAAACGTAATTATCAAATTTTTAAATAATAAAAATAAAATTCACAACCTTTAAAAGATTTTTTTTTTTAATTTTTCATTTATTAATAATTTATTAAGTGTTTAATATTACTATTCTAAAATATATTTTAATATCCTTTATATATATAAAATATTATTAATTTTATATTTTTTTTTATATATAAATATAATTAAGTATAGAAAAGAATAATAATCTATAATAAAAAGGAAAATTTTTTTTCCTTTTTCCCAAACTTTCGATTATAATCCTATTTTTAAATTAATATTTATTTTCTAAAATATATTCATAGCTAATAATTAAGAATTTATCAACTCCTTAGAAATTCAATACATAATTTGATTCTATTTTTTGAAAGGTTTCGAAAATTTTTTATTCTTCTCTTGTTTTAGGTCTTCTCTTTTACAGATAAACGATTTTTTTATTTTTATTTTTATTTTTTATTTATAATGATAAAAATACTTCTTTTATATGTGTATTTTATCGAATTGTTAATTAAATTGATTAAAATTTAGAAAATTGCAAAATTATTCTGATAAGTATTCAATTAAGCTTTATTTCGTATTTTAAATATATATTTTTTATTATATTTTATTTCTGTCGCTAGTTATGCTTCTTTCAATATCTATAATAAGTTAAATTTTTAAATTGAAAGTGATAATTTAACTGCTTTTACATAAGAAATATTCAATAGATCTGTCATTAAGCTCTTTAAATATTAACGAATAAGCCAAAATACTATCTATTAAATTATAATTTGTGCAGCATTTAATTTTTTTCATTTTGTTAAGTATTTATACAAACAATGAATTAAAAGGGATTATTTATTTCATGGACTACATATGATAGCATTTAGGATTGCTTTTCTTTACATTATAGAGTTATAGAGTATTTATATTTAATTAATTAAAGAAATTCTATGTACTAGAATGTATTATTGTCCTTATATTAAAATTTTCTAAACTATAACTTCATATATTTCGGTCACATTTAGGTTAAGAATATAGTTAAGAAATCAGTGATTAATACTGTTTGATATAATATCCAATAAAAATAGTACATTGTATAATAAACTAAATAAAAATAAATGATATTAGTATTAGTTTTTTATTCTAAAAATAATTGATTATAAAATAGTTAAACCGAAATTATTAAACTATATTTATATATAAATTTTTGTTTATAAATAAGTATTTAGTATTCAATTATTGACTAAATTCATTTATTTATTATATATAAAAATACAAATAAAATGATAAAAATGATAAATAAAAGATAACATATATATTTTTTTTAGTATTTAAGATATAAATATATTGATAATTAAATATATATATTTATATATTATTTTAAATAAAATATACTTTTATATAATTTATTTATATAAAAAATATTTTATTTATTAATAATAATTTTTTTTTAATAAATATATATTTATTATACTATAATAATTATTAAATGATTTATTACATATATATATAAACAATTATTTATTTATTTTTTAATTTTATATTTTTAATTTTTTTTATTAATTTAAATATATTTATATATAAAAATATATACATTTATTTATTTTCATTTATTTTATAAACAAAATCCTATATTTAAAGGAGAAAGATTTAAATACATTAAATCGAAATTTTCCAAATTAAATAAAATCGTATAAGCATTTAGCCATATAATTTAATTTATTTCTGATTTTAAATCACTTAAAACCATTATTTATTCAGTTGTTTGTTTTTTTTTTTAGTATAAATTTTATACAAAATCAATTCATTTCCTCTGCTACATGCTAAAACATGATAAGGTTTAAATTTTGCTTTATTGGGAACTTTTAGTTTATTAACAAAGATATCGATTTAATTTATTTATTCAGGTTATTTTAAATTTTAAAAATTAATATAAATAAAATCAGAAAAGGCTGTACAGTCTATATTTGTATTTATGATGTATTTTTTATTTAATATAGTATCTATTTCATCTTAAATTTAAATATCGAACAATTAATTATTTAAAAAAATAAACTTTTTATCAAAAGAAATTCCAAAATAGTTATTATTTGAAATAAAAATGTTTTCATTTTTTTAATCGTCTAAGAAATTTTAAAGATTTTCTTTTTAAAAATCTTCACTTATATCAGATTCGTTTGAACTATAAATTTCTTATTTAATATCGATTTTTTTTTATTAATTTTATTAAATTTTTTATTAATTAATATTAAAACTTTCTTATTTATAATTTATAAAATTTATACTTAAATATTTATTTTCTGTTTAACTTTTTATAAAAACTTAATTATTAATATTTAAAAGACAATGTTTAGAAAATTATTAATCTATATTAAACTATTTTAACTATAAATAAAAATATATTAATATTTTTTTTATAAAAAATTGGATAGATATTAAATAAAATAAATAATAATCAAATATTTTATTATAATTTACTTAAATAAATCCTTTTGTTGTATATTAAATAAGTGAATTATTTAAATAAGAAACAAAAAAGTATTAACTATCTTAAGACCATACGAAATCTATAGTAGCGTAATTATTATTTTCATAAATTATATTTGCAATTTAAACCCATTAATTAATACTATATAGAGGCGAAAAAATTTTTATGTTTCCTTAATATTCAAGGACTGCAATTGCGTACCCTGTAAAAATTCCGTACATTTTTTAGCAATTTTAAGATAATACTTTTATATGAATTTTTTTTTTTTAAGTTTATGAAAATCCGAAAATGTCTGATCTTGATAAATTATTTTTTTCGTTTATTTAGTCTTCGCTCTTTTATTCTATATATAAACTCATTTTACTTCTACTAAATTTTATACTTTAGGGGTTATTTAGTTCTTAGTGAGTAAATTTATAAGCATAATCATTTATAGAATATATGTTTTTATACAATTTGGTTTCTTCGAAAAATTAGCGCCATTTTTAGATGTATTTGTGGAATTATTTCACTGATATTATATATAGTTTGTTACTAATGTCTAATAAACCTATGTTTTCGCGATCTTCGTCTATATCAATTTTATTTGAAAGAAATGGTTAATTGTTAATTTATTTGATTTTATGAATAAAAACCATTAAAAATAAAATAAAAAAAAATAATGAATTAATTTTATTTTTAAAAAAACTTTTTTATTTTTTTTTTAAAAAAAAGTTATTAAAATAAATAAACTATATAAGTATTTAAGATTTATTATTTTATATATTTTTTTTTTTTTTTTTTTTAATAAAAAAACAATAAAAGAAGAATACATAAAAAATAGACTAAAATAATAAAATTCATTTTAAATAAAAATAATAATAAGTAAAAATTAAACAAAAGAAAATAAATAAAATAATAATTATAAAAATAAAATATATAATTTTTTTTCTTAATATTTTATTTATAATATATATATATATATATAATATTAATATATATTTTTTGTTTATATTTATATTTTAACATTTTTTTAAGGAAAAAAATAAAAAATTGGAAGTCTATATCATTTTTTTTTTTCAGATGATTATCTCTTTTATTTATCAGCCGACTTTCTTTTTTGCTTTTCAGCCGATTATCTTCTACTATTTTTTTTTTATCTATTAGCTTCAGTAGCATCAGAGTTCATTTTTTTCCCTTTTTATACCACTTTTTATTTCTATTCATTTTCATTTTTTTCCTATTTTTTATCCATTGACTTTCCTTTTTATTTATCTTAGGTTTTTACTGATTTATTATCTTTTGATTATTATCTTTTATTTGATTACGATTTTTATCTTGGCTGAGATTATTATTTATTTTCTTATCTTGTTTAAATTTTCTCCTTTCTTTTTTCCAATAGCTTTTTTTCGATTTCACCATATTTTTCGTGCCATTCTTGGAAAGCCTTTCCATTTTTCATTTTTAATTATTAAAAGGTATCTTGTAATTTTTCTCTTTCTTTATCTGAAAGTTATCTCAAATTTTCAGAAATCATTCTTAATATTTCAGTGTTTTTTGCATTAGGATGATATTATTTTAATTTAGGAAGTTCTTAATCTCTATAAAAAGTATATAATGTCATTTATTTGGGTTTTTCAGGAAGATCGTTTATATCTTTATAGTTTGAAGACATATTTTTATATATATATATATATTTTTGTTTAATTAAATATTTTTATTAAATTTTTTGTTATTTTAAATTTTGAATATATTGAAAATTTATGTGTTTAATTTAAATTTTAAATTTAAAAAAAATGAAAAAAGCAGTTTTAATAAATACATATATATTAATTTGAAACATTATTATTTTTTGCTAAAAAACTGAGGAAAATTAATTTACATACAAAAACCAATTTAAAATTAATAAAATGTTTATAAATAGAAATTTCTTATCTTTATGCTTAAAAAAAAATTATTAAATAATAATTATTTATATATATATATAAAATATCATTTTTCAGTTAAAACTCTATAACCTTTCCAATTTATTGGACATTTATCATTATTTTCTTTTATTACATTTAATAAAGTATTAGAAGGCCCATCAATAAAATTATGTTAAGAAAGCATAACTAAAGTTTTTAAAAATTAACATTTAGCTTATTCCCATTTTCCTTAAATATAATAATTAAAACCTATATTCCATTCATTATAAAAACTCTATTTTTTTAAGAGAAAATACATTCAAAAATTATATAATATATTTATATTTACAGATCTAAAAAGTTCTCTCATAGCATAAAGCATTTTATTAGTTTTGAATTTTTCAGCTGGAAATGATTTACATGAAAAAATATCATTTTTCAATTTGTTTCTTTACAATCTACTAATGACTCTCATTCTTTTTTTTTAAGGAACTGTTAAATTTCCAATATCAAACTAGTCTTTTCCACATCCTCGAGTATTAATATTTTCTAAATGAACATCCACAGTGTATAAATCTAAAAAAGAATAAAAAATAAAAACAATTAAATAAAAATAAAATTATATATAAATACCCATAGGTTATAAAGAACCTTTCACAAGCACTCTATCTATATGTCTACATTATTATTAACACTTAGGAGTTAATATTTAAAATAATTCACCACTTATTAATAAGTTAGTTCCAAATTATTTCGTTGCAGCCTCTAGACGAGAAGCCATATTTACATTTGGACTCAAATAAGAAGCATCTATTTTATAATTTGAACCAATAGCTCCCTTTATTTATTTAAAAAAAAATGTAAAAATATAATATATAAAATAATATTTATTAAGTTTATTTTTATACAAAAAAAACATTACTTCAATAGCCCATCCTATATGTAGTCCGAAACCCATTTTAACCCTATAATTATGTAGTCTAAAATTAAGTTTTTAATTCTATTGATATTTAACTAATTTTTTCGATACATAAACTGCTGACATTATATTCAAAAAAGCTAAAACTGGTAAATCAGCATATATATTAACTCTTTCTTCCTTTTTTAATTAAAGTTGATTATTTACATCATAAAAAGTATCACTTTCTGGATATTTCCATACTAACAAAAATGCATCTCCTATGTTCTTGTTCGGTTACCCTATATGTTAATCTACTATAGCGTGTGTAATTTCCGCAATTTCATTCACAAAGACCATGACTCCTGTCTAAAGCACTTCTGTGGCATCTGTAAAGTTCCTAATATCGCAAAATCCGAAAATTGCCATAACTTTTTTCCCTGCAATTATAGGGTCTACATCACCTGCTCGTTTCATATTAGAAGCAATAATTTCAGAGCCAGCTTCTCCGAATCCTATCGCTAAAAGTGCTCCAATTTTAATGATTAGTTTTTCTAAAATAACTGTTTCATACCCTTCTTGTTCTTTTTTTTTTTTAATTTCTTCCAAATTACCATCCTTTAGTAGTTATTCCATTGCCAAAGTTTCCTGTTCTTCCAATTAGGCGGCTTCTAAAGGATTTTCAGAAATTCTTTTAACTTTCCTGACCATACTTTCGATCGGTTCAAGTACTAATAATTCGATATCTCCAGAAAATAAAATAGCTCCTACAGTAAGGACTATAGATACAAAAATAGTACGCACAATAGACAATATGGCATTTAAATCATTATCTATTCTTTTATCAATTATTATACTCAGTAAAATTTCTCCTTAAGAATCTTCAAATGAATAAATAAATTATTCTTCTAATCTTAGGGTCTGATAGTTTGTGATTTCTGGGTTTGTTTCACTAGAATATAGATTAATGTCTTATACTTAGTAACGGATATTTAATATTGGGTATCGTTATTTTTTATGAAAATCTATATATTGTTATAATGATTTTTTATATAAGTCATCTGATGGGGTTTTAGTATAATAACTTTTTTTTATTTTAATATTAATTTATAATGTAATTTTTTATTAACAATAATAATAATATTATATATATTTATTTTTTTACAGATATAAACTACTTAATCCTGTATTATAGCTTGTTATTTAATCATTATATGTATCGGAACTAAACATTGGTACACTGGCCATAATTGAAAGTACAATTAATATGACTGTTTTGGTAGTTTAATCTGAAAGTTTTTATCCTAATTTTGTTTCAAACATATTTACCTATAAAAATATTTATTTTCAATTTATTTAATATGTTTAAAAATGCATACATCTTATTATTGGTCTTAATTTTATTATTATTAAATATTATTTTCGCCTTACTTTTGTAATTATTAATTAATTTCTATGATTTATTTTTATTATTATTCTTATTTTTATTAAAAAATAGCCTGTTCCTATTATTCTATTTTCTATTAATTTTTTTTAAACTAAGAAGTTTTTTTAGTATCCCCTTGTTTTTTATTATCCTCGATTTTTTCAGAAGATTACAAAGATAATTATCTTTTATAGTTCGACTCTTTTCTTTATAAATTCTTAGTCATACTTTAAACTCGTACTCTTCCTGGAGTAGCTACTCCATTATCTTAATTTTATTAAAATTATTCTATTTGGAAATTATCTATTTATTACTAAAGTACTTAATGTGCTTATTTATATAATTTAACTAAACGAATAAGTCTCACTATTCTTACTATTCTTCCTGCTCGTGTACCTACTCTAGATGCTCTTGCGGCTCTATTTTTTTTTTTTAATTATTTTTTTTTTAAAAAAAAAATATACTTTGCTAATTATGCGGCTGATGTTGCAGATGAAATATTATTAACACCAAATAATGTATTTGAAATCCAACCAATGTCCAAAAGTAGAGATATTGTAGATACAAAGTCTAAATAGAAAAAAAAACTGTTAAAATAACAAGATTTTGTGAATGAAGCTACTATTATTTCTATTGAAAAAAAAGCCATGCTTATTATATTTAATACCCAAAAAACTTAATCTCCTTAAGAATCTGTTACTAAAACTCTCACATCATCTCCAAAAAGGGCATAAAGAGTAATAACTGTCATAATTACTGTAGTAACAGAATGATCAAGTATAAATGCACAAAATAACTATTTTTAAAAATAATTTAATTTAATTCCATTATATTTATTTATTTATTTAATTTTTTTTAAAAAAATATTCAGATGCTTTATTAACTATCAAATTTATTTATTATTTTAGATTTTATATTTATTTTATTTTTTAAAATATGTTCGGGTTTTTATTTTATTTTAAATAGATATTTATTACTTTAATTTTTTATTCACCTTTATATTATTAAAATCTTGAGTTTTTTCTTGTAAAGGAACTATTTTATGATTTTGCTTTTTTGGTAAATATTATTTTTAAATTATAAAATTTATTATTTTTTCTAAAATATTATACATAATACAGAAGATAAATTAGATCTTTATCTTTTACTTACATTAGCTTTAAATGAATTTCTTCTTTGCTTAAGCTGTTTTTTTATTTATGTATTATTAAATATTTTTTTATATATATTTAAATAATTGTTTTTAAAAATTTTAATAAAATAATATACTTCCTAATCATGAGAAATATTATTTTTTGTTGCTTAATTATTATTATTGTTTTAATTCAATTTATCTATAAAAAAAATATTAATATAAGTAGAAAAAATCCTATATGATGTAAAAAGTACTTTATTATTAATTATCCATTAATTTATTTTTTATTGAATAAAAATATTATTAATTATTTATAAGAATAATATTTTTAATTTATAATTATATATTTAAAATTAAAAAAAATTAAAAATATTTATCATTATATATAAATAAATATATCATTATAAATTAATAAAACTATTAATTTAATATTTTTTATATTAAACTAAATTAATTAAAGATGAATATATTCCTTATGTTCAAATTTTATTTCATATAATTAATAATATAATAATCATATATGAATTGTTACAATTAATATTCTATAAATTTATATTATTTAAATATTAATATTTTTTTTAAATTATATGAAAAATATAGAAAAAAAAAAGAATAATAATAATATAACCAATATTTTTCTCAATAAATTAAAATAATTATAGGTATTAATTTACATAATATAGATTAATTATTATTTAATTAATTTTATTATTTTTATATTTAATATTTATATAATATTCATAAAATAATTTAAGAAGCTTATTTAATATTTTATTACATTTTCTATTAAAATTAGTTTATAGTTTTATTATATTAATTTAATTTTTTTTGTTTATTTTCTAAAATACTTTTATTTTTCTAAAAAAATTTTTTTTTTATGATTATAAATATATAATTAAAAACCAAACAAATGTTAATTAGTTAATTATGAATATAATTTATTCTAATATGTATATTTTTTTTTGGTTTATTAATTTAAAGCTTCGAATAATTTATAAAAAACATAATTATTTTGTTAATTAAATAGAATAAATTTATATTTTCGAAAAGTTTATATTTCCAATTTCCAATTCTTATTTTTTAATAATTATAGTTTTAATATTTTATATCTAATTATTTTATATTTTAAAAATTTCAATTATAATATTTTATAACTTAAAATCTTTAGATTATTAAAATTAACAAAAAATAATAATCGAAACAAGTAGTAAATTAAAAAATATGAGTATCTATCATATAAAGAATAACAAAGAATTTAAAGAAAAAGTTATTCAATCAAAAGTACCTGTAATTTTAGATTTCTATGCAAATTGGTGCCCACCTTGTTTGAAACTTGATGAGTTACTATAAGCTGAAGTTTGCAAAGGCTAATGATGGATTGTTTGCAAAGTTAATATTGATGAAAATAAAAATTAAGAAATATCCACAGTACATAATGTTGAAGGAATACCATGTTTGTTTTTATATAATAAAGGAGAAAAAGTTAAACGTCAATAATTTTTTTTTAACTTATATTTATAATTAAAATAAAATAAACAAAGAATAAGAATTTGTTGGGTTAGATTAAGACAAGTTTAACTAAATGATAAAAGTCGCAGATTCTTTATGTTGAAAAATACATTTATTTAATATTTATTTAAAAAAAAAATATATATATATAACAATTAAATACTTTTTTTATTAAAATTATAAAAAAAGAAAGATTTATATTATTTATGATTAAAATGAATAAGTAAAAAAAAAAAAAATTAAATTAAATAAATAATTTACATATTAAAAAAAATAAAGTAATCTAAAAAAATTAATATAAAGAAATATAAAAAAAATCATTTATTTTTAATTTCCTCCATTTCAATTTCCTATTCTTCCTTAATAATATTTGAATTTTATTTATTTAATTACTCCTATTAAATCTACCATTATCTTAATCTCTACACTTCATCTGATCTCTCTTAATCCACCAGCTCTTATTTAATCCTCTAAACAATTAAATGTTATCCAAGTATAATCAAGAAAATTCCCGGTAACAAAAATACGTAACCTATGCAAGTTAAACCCCTTGGAATAATCTAAACACCCACAAGTTAGAAAACAATTGTTGCAATAACGGGTTCAAAAAGTTAAGCAGTAGCCGGAATAATTGGTTCAAATAATTTACTTACGAGTACCCCTGTAATAAAACTACCAAAGCATAAAATAATACTCATATATAAATATCCACTAAATTATTCACTGGTAAAAAGACCGAGCCAACCCCATAAATGATTTACATCAAAATCACTTCCTGAAAAAAAATAAGCACTCATTTACATATTAATTGCAGTCAAAAAACATATAATCATTGCCGCTAAATACGGAGGGTAAGTCTTCCTTGTAATCCCTTAATGTTTATCCATTTTAAAGACTAGAAAACTGACTAAAATCGATGTAAAATTACCCAAGATGACTCTTTACCAAGTCGCTCTTCTTAATAATTTAAACATTTTATAAGAAGTCGTGGAAGGAATCGCATCAGCAGTTTCAAATGTATAAGAATCAATTAGTATACATAATACACCGCCTATTACCATTGTTTATCCTGCGTTTTCTATATTATGATTTTCTATGCCTTTTATTTTTCGGTCTATACTAAAAAAAAAATTTTATAAAGCACCCAAAACTAATGAATGGGAGACAAAATTCCATTCTTAAGCAAAAAGTGTCATTGTGAACCACATGGAAGACGTGAAAGAGCTTATATATACTTTTTTGAAATTATCCAGATTGAAAATATATGAAAGCTTATATTTAGCTTTAACTATTTCGTCCCCTGATCTTCTCTCATAGGTTACAAATGGAATCATCATAAGTCCTTACATAAAGAATCTCCAGGAAATTCTAATGCACTTTTCAGCAGGCATTGACAATATCCACGGTGAAATACAGGAATTCATAATTGTGGTTAGAAAAACTAGGAACCAAGCAAAATAAGGACTTACTTTTTGGAACAAAGGTTTTTCAAATTAATTTCTTTGTTCTATTATTTCGTTTTTATAAGCCCCTAAGGCACTTATTAAATTTTCGTTTATGGCATATTTGGATATTTCTTGAACCGCCGTTTCTTATTAGAAATTTATTATCTTCGAAACCCATTACATCGTCTATATTGAAGTTTAAACTGGAACTTAGGAATATGGTTTAACGAGCAGCTTGCTGGATCTTAGATACTCTGTCAGTTTGGAAATTCAATGAATTTTAGTCTTACTAGTCACCAAAGCCTTCTAGAAATGTTACTTTTTTTACCTCAGACATTCTATGAGAATTTTATACGGGATTTTTCTAAGTATTTATAATTGCGTCTTAGTTATCTTCTACGAAATCTAAGAGTTTTTTAAAATCTTGGTTTTCTATTATTTTTTGGGCTTACTGGATAGTTTTTTCACCAGTTTTTTCAGATTCGGGTAGTTATTGGGGAGGGATTTCGGTTTCTGTGGATAAAATAATGTTTATTGGTTGGGCTTTGGTTAATTAGTAGGATTTTCGACCAAATTGGAAGGGACTGTCAAATCTTGGGACAGGTACCTCATTTATTGATCGACGGAAAAATTAAGTGCCGCTAGTGTTACTTTTTACTTGTTGATCAATTAAAGATTAACCTAGTGGATTATTACTTTAATTTTAAGACATTTGATGTTTAATTTTCTTTTTATTTTGTTTGGCTTTTTATTTTGGAATATTTTTTTTTAAAGCTTTATTTGCTTTTTTTATTAATATTTTTTTTTTAAATTTTTTGTTTAATTTTTGTTTTATTTATTTTTTTATCTTTGATTATCTTTATAATTAAATAAATAAAAATTCAGAAAAGTATTCAACAAGTAAATTAATTAATTTAATCAAAAAATAAAAAATAAAAAATGGATAAAGTATTTGATAATAATGTTTTATTTATAAAATGAAATATTATAAATGAAATAATTAAAAATAAATTAAATAAATATTATTGTTTTTTATATTTTATAAAATATTTTTATGTTCTAAATAATTTTTATATAATAATATTATATCTGAATAAAATATTTTTATGTTTATTCGTATAAATATTCATTTATAATATATTAATAATATAAAATATTATTAAAATATTAATTGATTTAAATAATATTTTATTGTAATAATTAATTTGTATTAATAATTTTTTTATTTTAAAGTATTATTTATTTAAATTTTAAAAAATCATAAACTAATTTATCTAAATATGAATTATATATTTTTCATTTTTATATTTTGTAATATGAATGTATATATCATATTTATATATACACATAAATATAAATTGATTAAAAATTATAATTATTTTACTAGTTTTTTCTAAAATTATGCTTATAATAAAAAATACAATTTGAAAAATTAAAATTTTGAAAATTTAAAAGAATGAATAATAAGATTAAAATTAATTTTATTAAACTATATTTTTATAAATAATAAATGTATTTATTACCTAATATAAAGAAATTAGTAATTATGCCATTGTCTAAACATTAAATTTAATATAAAATAAATAATTAAATAAAAAATTTATATAATTTTTTTATATTATTTAAAGTATATAAATACCGTTTTACTAATAATTATTTTCTTATAAATTATATTTTAATCATATTTAATAAAATTTTTAATAATTAATCTAAAAATATTTATATACAAACTATGACTAAATTATATTTAAAACACTATTATAATTATTAATATTTTATTTATATTTATTTTATATAAGCATATATGATATGAAACAATACAAATAATAATTATCTTTTTCTTTACTAAAAAATAAAATAAACAATACCAATATAAAATCAATTTTTTATTTATACAAAATTATTAAAAAAAGTCAAAAAAAAAATAGTTATTATTTTTAATGAAAAGCATATTACCGAAAATTTTAAATAATTTCCACAAAGAATAAAACGGTTGCCTTGCAATAATTGGCGGCTGTCTAGAATATTCAGGTTCTCCATATTATTCTGCGCTTTCACAATTAAAAGGCGGAGCTGATTAAGCTCATATATTTTGTACAAAGTAAGCCGCAATTCCTATAAAATCGTATTCTCCAGAAATAATAACTCACCCATATTTACATGCATTAAACGAGCAGGAAGAAACCGATATTTTTTATTAAAAAAAGTTAAAAGAAACAGTAAATAAAATAACTCAACATTAAGAGAATTTGGATAGCTTTGTAATTGGCCCTGGATTAGGCAGGGATTAATGGATAAGCGAATATTTAGGCGAGATAATCGAAAATATAAAAAAATAGTAAATAATAGTACTTGATGCGGATGGAATATGGTATTTAATCCAAGAATATAATAAATTTGGATTAGAAAGTAAAATTTTTAAAACTGTAGTCTAAAAGGATTCTTAATATCATATTTTAACACCCAATTAAGTTGAATTTTAGAGACTTTGGAAGTGTTTTGTTAATAGTAATTGTTTAGAAATTGAAAATAAATAAAGGAATTAATTAATGGAAGACTATGTTTAAGGATATAATTATTTTAATAAAAAAATACTCGATTATGTATAAATTTATGACTTTGAGAATCCTATTGTTAAAGATGCAGTTATTTTGGCTTAAAAGTTAAATAATATTAATATTATACACAAAGGAATTATTGACGTTGTAACAAACGGAAAAGAGGCATATTTAACACTTTAAAAGTCAAGTCATAAAAGATGCGGGGGTATAGGAGATATTTTAAGTGGATTAGTGGGAGTTTATTGCTGTTGGGCGTAAAAATAGGCCAAAAAATAACCACATTTGAACGAAGAAAATATGATTATTTTAGGATGTATTTTTAGTAGTTGTTTAACTAGAAAAGCTAGCAGTTATGCATATTAGAAATATAATATTAGTCTTACTGCACCTAATATTATTGAGTTTATAGGAAAATGCTTCACTGAATCGTATAATTTATACTAGAAAGAGGATTAAAATTAATGATAATTTTCATTTATTTTTTTTCAAAATTGAAAATAGAGATATATTTTTTTATATACATATATATATTTATGTCATAAATCTATTTTTATCTATTATTTTAATGTATATATTTATATTTATTTATTATTTTTTAAATATAAATTAAAATAAATATATATTTATTTTTTTCTATTTATTTAAAAATATATATTATTTATTTTATTAAAATAATTCATATATAAATTAAAAATTACATAAAAAGGCCAGCCATAATATATTAAAAATAAACAAATTCAATCTAACATTATTATACTATCTTTAAATTACTAATCGTCATTTGAAAAAGCATAGTTGCTAAGACAATATTTATACATTTTTAAACTAGTTTTTTCTATAAAATAAATTTCTTTTTAAACAGGAGCATAAATTGCATGATTAATTTTTGGTTTTCCAATATCTATTTAGGCAATTTTTTTTAAATCATTTCCGTATCCTTTTATTAAAAAAAGCATTTTTTTCACACAGGCAGGCTGTACTAAATAAAAGTCGTTTAAACCTATTATAGGTATTATTTTTGAATAACTGGCAAATATAGAATAAATAGTATTCGGCTAATTAGTTGGTACATCAAACATTTAAGGGAAATCGTCTTTACTTTATTTTTATTTTTTATTTTAAACAAATAAAAAAAAAATATTAATCTATATTTATATTAATATTTTATAAACCCACTAACTATTATTTTTCTTTAATTGGCTTTTAAAACAAGAGAATTTTATTGGAAATTCTCTGTTAAATATTCGTTATTTTTTGATTCAATATCAAGGCAACAAAGTACTTTATTATGAGAAAAAATTATTTTATCTGATTTTAAATCTAAGTCAACTTAAAAAGAATCAAATAAATGCAAACAATTTTAATCCGTAATTTTATGGGTTAACCCGAAATTCAAAATTACATTTCCATTCAAAAGATCATATACCTAAATATATGCAAATTTAATAATATTTATTAACATATAATTACTAAAATATATAAAATAATTTTATTTTACATTAATGACTGTTCCAGTTTAATTATCATTAAATTCACTAAAAATAACTAATAAAGGTTTTGTTTTATGAGCTAAGTAACTCCCTTATTTAGGATTTGGTATCACTAGTTTTTCGTTGAATTCTAAATCATCTATTACTTTGAATTAGTTTATTTAAGTTTCATATATTAAAATTAATTTTTAGGATTGATAATACATTATGAATTATTATTATTTTTCATTTAAGGAATATTAAAATATGAGTTTTTTAGTTACATTTAACTACACTTTTTCTATATAGGATTGATTTATTAATAGGAATGTATCTTATTAAAAATAAGTCATGGAATTTTACTAGCCTATTTATTCAGTTGATATTGCAGTTTCCATCGGGTATATTTTATTGTAATTTTATAATATAACTTCAAATTATTTTGATGATCTTACATAATTATATAAAAATATTATATAAATAAAAGCTTATATGCTTAGTGAAAGTATTCTTGATTATTCGCCCTTTTTTATATTTATTTTGATTCTTATTGATTTTTTTTTTTACATCCATAAAAAATAATGTATATAGTATTTAGAATGTATATTAATATGTATTTTAATATATCTTATTTATAATTAGGGTTTGTGAATATTTAAGAATATTCAGTGAATGCTGAAAAGAAATGACCTAATAATTCTAAAAGAATTATTTTATATATTAATTATTCTTAATTATTAAATTTTCGGGCTGCATCTTGGATAAGCATATGTAAACCTATTTCTAGTGTTTAATTTACTAAACCATTAGTAAGTCTAGGTATACAGTTCAAGAATATTAAATATAACTATAAGAAAACTTATAACTATTATTGCGATTTTTAAAGATAATTTATAGAAATAATACATAATATTGAAGATAATATTATCATTTTTTCTATTTTATTTTAAATATTATTTATGAAAAAGTATTTAATTATTTTTTATCATGAAAAAAAAAAGAAAATCAAACAAATAAAATTATTTTTGTTTCTTATATAAATAAATAATTTATATTTTAAAAAATTAAATTTATAATTACTTTATTGAGAAAAAATAATAATAATTTAATATTTAAATCAAAAAAATTGTAAAGAGAATTTATTTTACAAATATAATAGATATCATATATATATATATATTTTTTAAAAACAAATATATTTTTTTAATTTTCTAAAATCTAATTTTTCACCATTCATCACTTTACCCATATTAAGCTTCGGATTCATCAATCTGATTTCTAATAACAACTTCAGGTACAGCATAATTTTTTGAAACTTAAATTCTTTAATCTTTTAGTAAATAATTAAGTTCTGGTAATTTATTTTCATACCAATCATTATATTTTTTCATTAATTCATCAAATTCAAAATTTGCTATAGGAATATATTTTAAATGTTAGGCTTCTATTTCTAATAAAGAAGTCAACTCATTATTATCTAATATTAATATTAAATATAAATAATTTTCTTTATGTTTTTTTTTTATTTTTTCTAACCTTTTTCATGATAAGAAAGCTTTCTGTTATAAATAACTATTTAAGGTGAATTTTTATTTAAATTATCATCTTATTTATCAAAGTTTGTCATATTACTTTAGGTTTTATATTACATGACTAAATTTATTTAATTATTAGGGTTTAAGTATGCACTTTAGAAATTATTTAAATTTACATTGAAATTATTTTATGCATAATTACTGTTTTATTTTGGATCATCAGTACTTTAATTGGCTATAATCTCATTTAAATTAGACGATGATACACTTGCTAAGTTTTACTGTGTAGTATTTTTTACTTAATATTCTATTGCGGGAGAACTTATTGTTATAGATCTTTATTTCTATAATTATAAAGATTATTAAAGAATTGATGATGATGATTATGTATTTGTATTATATTAATTGTTTTTATTTCCATATGAGGCTATTTTTTTAAAATACTCATCGTCTTTTTTTTTATTTATTTTTTATCTCATTTTTTAGTGGAGGGACACTTCTCTTTACTTTGCTAATTATTATTGTTAGTATTTAATTTTAGCAACTTCTAATACTTCCATTATTTATTAATATTTTAAATATATTAGTTCATCCTATAATTATTACTTTATAAATATATATATATTTATATTTTACAATTAATTTGTTTTTTAATTATTAATTTTATTAGTTTAATAATATTTCTTTATTTATTTCTTCTATAGTTACTAGTCTTGATATATTATCTCTATTAATGTGGAATATTCTATATATTAAGAAATAATGGAATATCATTCTTACATTAAACGACCAGTGCATATATAACCTTAACCATATAATAAATTAATATAAATTTTTAAATATATATTTTTTTTTTAAATAAAACTTAAAAAATATATTTGAAAGTAAATATTAGCATAAATCATTTTAGAACTCAGAAGGAAATAATTGATAATTATTATATAAAACCCATAATACTCTAGAAATACTAATCGAATTATGACTATTAATAATCATTCTGATTCCTTTAAAAAAGAAATTAAAATCAAATATTGTAGGTATGTTTTTTTTCAATAGAATTAATCTTTCAAGCCAATCATTTATCATATCGAAAACAGCTACAACTTTTACAGAATCATATACACTTATTTTTTAATAATAAAAAATAAATAAATATTTATATAATTCTTTTTACTTAGTTTTATTATATAATAAAGTAATAAATACATTTAATAATCTTTCATTATATAAAAACATTTAACTGGCATTTTTTAATGCTACAGGATATTACAAAACATCCCTAATTTTCATTTCTACAAGAAAAGCTTTTAATAATGTTAAATAACCAGGTAAATCTTACCAAGGTACTTAATCTTTTACTACAACAATTTTATTTACATATTATAACCATTCTGAGATAAAAAAAAAAACGCTATTCCTCTTTTTTGAATTCTTTGACACCATTTTTAATTATCAAGAATAACCGTAAGTTTAAGGTAATTATCTTCTGCTTTTTAATGTCCTTTTATATATTTGAAAAATTCGTTATCCCAATCAAAAAGTTTTAAAAATTCTTTATTTTTAATCAAGTTTAAGTTTTCCTGTTCATCTAATTTGTATTCAGTTCCTCGCCATTCTTATATTTAAGGATCTTCTTATTTTGTAAGTTATTTTAATAATTTTTATCGAAATTCTGGTATTCTTTTTAATTATAAATGTGTTTAATTTAATTTTATTTTTTACCTAAAATATGCTATTGCGCAAAAATTTTCTACAAATTATCTTTCTTATAAGCTTAAAGCCTTTTAATTTAACTTATCTAATACTTTTTCTAATATAATATATAAGAGATATTAATAATTTAGTGCAACTTCGAGTTTTAAAGGAATTTTTTGTTTTTTTTTTCTTTTTTTCTAAGTGTGATTATTTGCAATTAATAAATATGAATAAGAATCATCAAAACACATTTAACTTAAATTAAATTCGCCTCTATTTATCACTAATTTTAATAATTCATAATAATTATCTTTTAATTATTCATCAACATCATCAGCATACATAATTAAATGTTTTTCAAGTTCTATAATAGTTAGTTATGCTTTTAAAAGTTCTTCTTCAGTTTTATAATAAAAAGATGTGATTGATTCTTTATGACTTTTTTAGGCTAGTTCGAACAAAACTTTATAGTTATTTTTTATTTCTTCGAACATTTTTAACCTTTCTTCATCCTTGTAGAAATGTAAATATATATAAATATGTATATATAATTATATATATATTTATATATATAAAAATATATATTTATATATATATTTATATATATATTTTTATTTTTATATAAATTTTTATATATACATATATTAAATATAATATTACACTTAAATCTTATTTTTTCTAATAAAGATTAAATACACTAGTAATAAATTTATCATTAGCATCTATTAATACTTAAACCTTAAAAAAAATATATATATTTTTAAAAATAAGTAAAATAATAAGACATTACTATTATAAATTTTTAAAAAAAAATTTGAAAAAATATCATTAATATTTACAAAAATAAATATTTTTATATAATTCTTTAAAATTGATATAAAAAATTACATTTATATTATTAGTTTTACTATTTTCCTATCCTTAATTAATAGAAGGACTTGCTTTCATTATTCCATTTTCAGTTGCTACCCCTACTATTAACTACCTCAAATATTCATGATTTTAAATTTTGAATTACCCTAAAGCTCTTCCTACTTAAATACCATGAGACCAGAGATTTTCTTTTATATTTTTTTGTCTTATTTGTTATTAATTACCTTCTTGATTTTATTTTATTTCAGGGGTTATAGAAAGTATTCTATTTAAAGAAACATAACATTCCCCTGAAATATGATTATCCATATATTTAACTATGTTTCCATTAATATCGACTTTTTCCTAAGCTTATATGTTTTCAATTCCCCATATACAAATTTATAAAGAAGTTGAAGTTAACTCGTTTGTGGTCAATTCTATATTTAAAAAAGGTCTTTGGAAAGTTAAATCAGTCAAATAATCCCAAAAAAGAGTCAAATTATGCTTTTGGATATTTTCTTCTTCATTTTCATCGTTTTTTTATTATTTAGTCAATTGTTTTTGGTCACTAATAAATAAGCTTTTTATGTGAGTCATATCTTTATTAACAGTTTAAACTTTTTAAGATTTACTGTCTAAAAATATGAATTTTTCTGTGTTTTCATTCAATATTGGCAATGTTATTGGCTTAAAATCTTTATTAAATCTTTTTGAAGGAACTGCGAAAATTCCAGTATTATTGTTATTAAAAATGTCTGTATTATTTCTATTATAAAAAATATATTAATATATATATATATATATATATATATATATTTATTTATTTCTTTTATAAAAATATATATATTTACTTTATAAGTTAAACAGATTCATTTTTTAATCGAGATTCATTTAAATGGTTTTTATTATATTATTCGACTTTTAAATTTTTTTTTTCTATTCCTTCGTTTATTAAAATGGAATTGAAATCTTCTTGTTGTATATTTAAATTTTCATAATATTCTAATTCTTATAAATTATTATATGCTGGATTTATAAAATTAGTTGAATGTTCACTATGATATACTGAATTACTTGTCTTTTTTTTATTTTTTTTAAATAAATATTAAATATTTTACTATTATTCTAAATGAAAAGTTATAAGCTTTATCAGTTAAATGATCTTCTAAACAGGCAATTACATTATCGACTGAAATTTAAAAGTTTATTTTTTAAAACATTTTTAAATCAAAGCTTATTCTTCCTTCATTTTTTTATTAATTATTTAACTTTTTTTTTTTATTTTATAAAGAATTTTAATTTATTTATTATTTAAAAAAAACTTATTTTTCTTTATTATTATGATTTGTCCATTTTACAGCCAAATCATGATGATATGGACCTGTAGCAACTTTATATAAATTAAGCTTTATATATCCTAATAATTCTTCTAATTAATTTTTTAAATATATAATTATAAATGAATGCTCTTTTAAATTATAATCATTTGATTAATAATTAAATTCATAATGTCCTTCCCACTATTAAATATTTTAATAAGTAAATATATTAATTTTTAATTATTTATAAAATAAAACTCTTAAATAATCATCTTTTTCAGCTAAAGAAGCACTGTATTTATGCTAGTTATCAAAATTAACTTAGAATTAAATATTTTGCTTATGTTAATTTTTATTAAAATAAAAAATATTGTATAAAAATATTAATTATATTACCATAGTTGGTGGATTTTTAACTTTTATATTTGCAAATACTACTGTAAATCTTCTTGTAATATTTTTATCGTTTTCTGTAGCTTTTATTACTTCTTCTTTAATATTTTATTTTTAATTTTATCTTATGTTTCCTCCTTATTATTTTCCAGAACAACCTCCCATTTTATATGTAAATTTTTATTTAGTATAATTATTTTTTTATTTTAAATTATTTTGATTTTTAAATATTTTTTCAATTCATTAAAAAATAAGGTTATTTATACATAAAAAAAGAAAATTTATTGATTATTTAAACAAAAATTTAGTAGAAAAAAATAACTCACTTAAATTATTTTTATAAATAAAATAAATCTTTTAAATAGAAAAAATAGTTATAAATTATGTTTTTTTATTTAATTTAATAAATATTAATTTAAATAAATATAATTCTCGTAAAATTGTAAAAAATATTAGTTATAAACTATTAAAAACTCTTAATTTTATGTAAATAAATTTAATAAAATTATTAAAGAAACATTATTAGATAGAAGTTTAATAAATTTGGTTATAATTTTATTTAAATTTTATTAATTAATATATATACTATTAATATTTTTTATTATTTATAATTTTTTTCTCTATTTTTTATCATTATCTTTTTGATTAAAATTTACCAATAAAAATAATGATATTTTAATGCTATAATAATTAAGAAGATCATTTATTTTTTAATTTTCAAATTTTACATAAATAAAAATTAGTTTTTAACAAAATAATGTTATTAATATGTTTTATTTTACTACTTTTTTAACTTTATTAATATATTTATTTAAAAATTAAACTAAAAAAAAAATGATTTAATTATACTTTTGATAAAATGATATTTAAATATTTTATTCTGAATACTTAAGCAATATAAACATTAAAATATTAATATTATTAGCGTAGATATTGCAATGTAATAAAATAACAGATAATTTATTAAGAAATAATGTTTTATATAAATAAATCAATTCATAAATAAATATATTATAAAAAATAAAAATTAATGTAAAAACTTAGATAAGTAGCATCTTTAATTTATATTTACAGTTTTTAATAATTTTCTATTTAATTTAACTTTCGTATTAATTATATAATAAATATTTTAAGAAGTGTTTTTTGTTTTTTTTAATAAATAAAATAAATACTTTAATAATCCATTATTAGTTCTTGTCTTTTTTTTTAATAAGTTTTTAAATAAAAATACAGAAAAAAAAAATAATAATAATGTTAAAAGTAATATATGTTGTATTATATATTTAAATTACATATAAATAAATTTTAAAATAATATAAAAATTATTAATAATTATGCCTAGAAAACGATTTAATCTATAAGTTTTTGAATATAAACCCTTAAAATAGGCAAACCTTTATTTTGCAAAGAATTTATTTATCGTTGGAAAATAAATTTAATAGTTTTTATTAATTAGTTAAATATTTTTATTTTTTTAGAAAATGCATAGTTAATAATCTAAAAATTTATAAAGATAAACAAAAACAAAAAATTAAAATTTAAAAAGATAAACAAAACAAAAAATCAAATTTGATTAAAATTCTAAAATTAGATGCATTTAATTTTTATAGAAAACCTTTTGAATTTTTTTAAAAAATAAAGAGAATTTACATAAAAAAAAATAAACAAAACTATAAAAAGATAACTAAAATAATCCTCTTAAATAAAAAAATATGCCGAAAATTACTTTGAAATTTGGATTCAATTAAATGCCAATAAAAATTGCAAAAAATGTTTGGTATATTTAAAATAATAACTTTAATATTTCATAAAAATAAAATATTATTAAAATATCGAAAATAAAATTTACTATTATAAGGAATAAATATATAAATACAAAATTAACTCAAATAAATAAGTGTAAAAATGAAAGAAAAACCATAATAAATAGAAAAATAAACAAAAAATTCTATCTACTATTAATAATTTCCCTTTAATTTAATAATATAAGCTGTTTCTAATGATTAGAGTTCATATTTAAAATATAAAAAATACTCAAAACTAAATATATGTGTAGAGAAATAAATAATTAAATTTTAATTGGTGTTAAGTATATTCAGATATTTTAGATTTGAATATTAAATATATAGTTGGAGTTACTTTCGAACATTTAAATGTTGATATTATTTTGGACTAATTAGAAGTCTAGATAAGACTCGGGATATTTCTCATAATTTAAGCATTAGTAATTTTGTAAATTATGAAATAAATAAAATAGTATTTTAGAATAAATAGCTTTATGGTAATGATTAAATAGTATGAAATGAGAATTTTTATTAATTAAAAAATAATTAATTTAACTGTATAAAAAATTAATAGTATTTATGGCAATTATTAAAATATTAATAGTTTCTACTTTTCATTTAATGTTATTATAGATTTGATGATAAAATAGTTATTAATAAATTAATTGAAGTAGATAAAATTCCATCTTTTAGATAAAAAAAGAAAAATAAAAGGAAAACATATTTTTATTTTTTTTACAATAATAATTTATATAAATAAACAAAGTTTAAATTCATGAATATATAAATAAGTTATTTCAACATGGTTTAAATCTTTCCAATTTAGAAGTATCATTAATAGCTATAATATAAGTAGAAATAGACCTTAAGTGTATTTCTAAGTCTTTAATTTTATTTGAGTTCATTAGATACTAGAAAGCGAAATTTTCATAGAACTCTAAGGATAATTCTCTTAAAAAAACTTTAAATAATTTTATTTATTAAGAATCATTTTTATATGTGGTCCATCCTTTAATAAAATCTTCTTTTTTCATAAGCTTTATTTCATCCTGTAACCATTTATAAAATATATTAATTTCTTAAAAGCTTTTCGCTTTTTCTTTTACATAAGGATTAAATTAAATAAACCTTTTTATAGCACCTCCAAAATTTTTGAATACATTTTTATGCCTACTTTATCTATATTTTTATTTATAAATTTTTGAATTGCTTTAATTATTGTTGTTTGTTGACTCTTCGGAATTTTCGGGTATTTAGCTTTTGCATTCTTAATTTATTTCAGTAATTATAGGAAGATTTAAATTTTATGATTAGACTAAAAAATTGTTTTAAATTTTATTTAAATTATCTTAATCTTTTAATAATTAATTATCGAATAAATTAGTTGCAAAATCATTAGCTTAGTTATTATTAAATTTTTCAAATGAATCGTATTCGCTTTTCTTGTTAGAGATATTATTATTATATATGTAAGAATTAATTTAGTCAGATGATTAAGGTTTTAAATTATTAAAACAGAAAAAAGAGTTTTTATTAGATTAGTTAGATAGCATAAGTTAGAGATTATTTTAATTAAATGTACATTCTCCATGATGGTTTATACTATAGTATCTTTGTAATTAAAAATCTAAACCATTCCTAGAGTTTGAAAATGTTTAATGAAGTCTGTTTGAGGAAATATTCTTGTCATTAAAATTTCCTTAAAAAAATAAATTATTATGATCAATTATTTATTGATTTTCACTTTAAATACTTGCCATATTTATTATATCATTTACAAAATCTTACATAATGTAAAATTTTCTTATTTTCAGATTAATTTTATATTTTTTAATTTTAATATGACAAATATTTTTAATTTAAATAATATTACTTTTTTTATTTATTTTTAAATTATAAAACTAATTATAGAAAAATAAGAGGAAAATTATTTTATATATAACTTTTAAATATAGAGACACTTTAAAAATAAAATTTAGAATAAAAATTATTTATTTTAAAATATATTTTTAGAATATTTTGATATTTATTATTAATTTTTATTTATATGTATTATGGTTTATAATATTTTATTAATTTTTATTTATAATAAAGTTTTTATTTAGTATTAAATATATATTATATATAATTTAAACATATTTTTTTAATTAAAAATTAAATAATTAATTAAATATCAAATTAAAAAAAATTGAAAATTTATTTTAAAATAATATGCTTCTTTTAAAAATATAAGCAATTTCATAAGATTTTTATTTTTAAATGATAAGTAAAATATAAAATAAAGAAACTACTTTAAATTAAATATACATATATTAATTATCAGTGACGTAATAATATTAATAAAATAAATTAAAAAATAATTTATATAATTCATACATAAATATTTATTTAATTTATATTATATTTTTTTAAATATAATTAAAAATTTATTTTAAAATAATATTAGATTTTATTAAATGAATAATTATAAAAGATTTTATTTCTATAAAAAGTTATAAAAAAAAATTATTTTAAATAAATTATTTAAAAATATTTTTTTTATCAGAAACCTTATAGTATAATATAAATTATAAATTAAATTAAAAAAAAAATATATATTATTCATACATACCTATATTATTAAAAATTAAATATTTAATCAAATATTATATAAATAAAAAATTGAAAATTTATTTTTAAACCAATATACTATAACAAAAAAAAAACAATTTTAAAAAATTTATTAATTTTATAAAATGTTAAGCAAACAAAAATTATAAAAAAAATTACTTTAAAATAAATTAATATAATAATATTTTTTTATTATCAGAAACCTTATAATATAATTTTTTTTATAAAAAAATTTAATTTAAATAATTATAATAATATATTTAAAATACATTATTATAATTAAATAATTAATCCATTATTAATATAAAAAATTGTAATTATTATCAAAATAAACAATTTTTAAAAATAAAATATTTTTTTAAAAATATTATTAAAAAAAATAACTATAAAATAAATTAATATAATGATATTATTTTATTATCAGAAACCTTATAGTATTTTAAAGATAAAAAACAAACAAAATTACTATAAAAATTATTATATAAATAATAAAAAAAAAAAATATATTATAATAAAGAAAAACTATTTTTAATAGTAAATAATTATAAGACTTATTTTTTAAAAATTTATTAAAATCAAATTCTTCCTTTTTGCTTCAGAATTTATTTATAAAAATTTATTTAATCAAATTTATTTTATTTAATAGAGTTTTTTACATTTTATATTTATTTACAAGGACTTTTTGAAAATTATGTTTAACATTTTTTTAAATTAGACATTTATATTATTTATATTATTTTTTATATTTTTTATTATTATTATTATTATTATTATTATTATTATTATTATTATTATTATTATATTTATTATTATAATTAATTTTTATATTTATTTTTATTATTTTTATTATTATTTAGTTTCAACTGCTTAATAATAATTTTTTTATCCATCAAAAGAAAAAGATGTATTAATTCTTCTTTTACTTTCACATTATTATAAAATTAAATTCATATCATTTAATGTTGAATTTCTAAATTCAGAATCGTTCGGGTTTATATCAGATAATTCTAACTATTATTTTCCTTAATTTTAGTTGATACATTTATTATTTTATATTTAATTTAAAAATAATTATATTTAATCCTATTCACTTTTTGATTTTATTGATTTTTTCTAATTTTTCATATACAATTTGGAATTTTCTTTATCAAATTTTGCCGTTTCATTACCTTCTTATTCTAAAAAATCAATTTATTATTAAGACTTTAAAGTTTAAGTATTATTGGAATTTATCTTTTATTTTCTATTAAAAGAATTATTTAATGTTTAATATTGAGAATTAGAAGAAAAAACATTTTTCGATTTATTTTTTTATTTGTAATTATCCATAAAATAATTTGCACTCATTTTTTCGATATTTATTTCACTTTTGTTTTTTATTGGTTATCTTTTCTTAGCTATTAAATCTAAAAGTTCTTCTGAACTAATTTTTGTATTTTTAAAAGATTATATTATATTAATTAATTATTTAACTGATAAACCTATTTAATTAGATTCTTTTATATATTGATCTTTATTTTATAATTTAAAATTCTTTTGTATATAAAAAAAATAAAATAAATAAAAAACATATAATTTTACATCTATATTTTTTTAAATATGTTATATTAAATCTTATTTTAATACTTGACCTTTTTCTTATATTAAATTGAAAATTAATTAAATTTAGATAAGCCAATCAATTCTATTCATAATCATATTAGATTTTTCATTAAAAATCATAAAATAAGGATCATTTTTTTTTTCTTATGATATATGTTTAGCATATATTTATTTTATTTTTTCAGTTTTTAAAACAGTAAGTTTTTTTAATGATTTTTCTTTGTCTTATCTTTATTAAACATAAACTGAACTTTTTTAATTATTAACAATATTAAAAATAATTTATTAATTTTTAGAATTAGCATAACTTATTAATAATGACATAAGTGTTTAATCAAAATCTTAATATTTTAATTATAAAGACGAAATTAATATAAAATATAAATATATAAATATATATATATATATATATATATATATATATATATATACTATTTCCTTCTAAATTTATTAATTTTATTTTATTATGACTATTTAATATATCAAAAAATATATTTATCTTCTTTTTTTTTTTTTATTTAAATTTTACATTTTTTTTAAAAAAAAATTACTTCTAAATTATTATAACTTAGATCTATTTGGTAAATACATTTACTATTCTTTTTTTTTGTTTAATATATATACATAATTTCTATTTTTTTTATGTTTATTTTTACTTATATTGAATATAAAAATGGTGCTATCTCTTCATCTTTTAATTTTTAATTGCTTAGATTAATTATGTTTACTTGATTTTTACCTGATAATTATTTATTATTAAATTATTGCTTCAATAATTATTTACTTTAAGACATTTCTTTTAGTTGATTTAATACAGACATATTTGGAATTAAGTCTGCATTTAAACAGTTTTATAAATAATTCATTTTTATTTCATTTACTTTACCTTTATATTAATAGACTTTAGAAATTATTTATATTTTTTTTACTGTTTCTATTGCTGTTATAAACTGAAAATTATTAATTATTCATTTTTTTACTAATTTATTTTTTAAAATATATATTCTTCGTTTTATTTAAAATATTTAAAAAAAATATAATTTTTAAATGTCAAGAAAAGACTAAACCAATTTTTAAAAATCAAATAAAAAATGTTAATCAAGAATATGATTTTTTCATATACATATTAAAGAATTTTTAATTTTAAATAGTTTAAAAAAATAATTATAATTTTTTTATTCATTAAAATACATTAGTTTTTTATATTAATTTATACTCATTATTTTTTTACAATAAAAAAAAAAATGAAAATAAATTTTATTAATATATATAAGTTTATAAAGTTTATAAAATATTTCATTATTTTTTATTTTAAATCTTTATTTAATATAAATTTCAGTAAATTTATTCTTTTTTAAATTTTATTCATTAATCTATAATTTAAATATGAACAAGTATAAACGAGTTTTAGAAAAAATTAAGTTAACTATTTCTCAACTAGACAATCCTATATCCTTACCTAATACAATTAACAGGTATCGCAAACTATCCAATAGTTACATCTTTTCCATAATCACTATCTTTAACCTTAAAAATAACTTAAGCAATTTCTGGACAAACGAACTAAAAAGTGAATTCATTATCCTCAAAAATTGGATGAAAACCATTATTATTTACATAATTAGTGATTTTAGTCTAATTGTTTTCTCTATCTAATTCACTTCCCCAAACCGAAACTTCCACATAAGGATCCATAATATCAGAGTCTTAATTTTCATAAATTAACTAGGAAGCACTAATTACTTTTATTTTAATAATTTTCCTTACTTAACTCATCATAAATGGATATTAAGGATTTTTTTCATATTTTAACATATATTATGGTTTTAAAACAAAACCGCATTTAATGTCTCCATTTTATTAAAATATAGATAAATATAATAACAAGAAAAAATCATTCGTTTAGAAATTCAAAGCAATTATTTAAGAGCCAGACAAAAATCCGTTTATAGGATTGTAATTTGAAGAATCTATTCTTAGTCCACCTGGATACACACGGGTGAAAGCTTATTTATTAATGTCTACAAGTTCTTTGGGTTTTGTGGTTAGTAATTTTTCGACTTTACTTTCGTCAATGGAACTTATTTACCAACATCTTTTTTAGGTATCTTCGATTCTCATATGACAACCAAACAATGAAGTTACTCTGAGAAGTTCTATACATTCTTTTATTTATTTTTATTTTTTTATGTTGTTTTTCTTGGAGTTCTTTTGTAGTCTATCGTCATATTCATCTAATTCTTTTGATGATTAGGTTTTTATTCTTTATTATTCTTATAGTAATTTATTTATTGTTTTGTCATCTTTTTAGGATAAGTATTACTATTGTTATTGTTATTATTTTATTTTTTCTTATTCTTCCTAAAAATCATTTTTTAATTTTTATTATTCTTGTTAATATTATTATTATTTTACTTTTTATAATTCTTGCTATTATTATATCTTTCTTTCTTTTAAATATTAATATATTTTTCCCTCTTGTTCATAAGATTAATTTATTGTTTCTTCTTTTTCTTTTTCTTTTACTTAATACTAATTTATTATGTCTGTTTATTCATAATTCTAATTTTTTATTTTTTATAGTTCAGAATAATCATGTATTATTCTTTTTTCTTCTTAAAATTATATTGCTATATTTTCTTCATTATTTTATTATGTTTATTAAATTGGTAAATTTTTTTATATGCATCTTTTTTATTAAGTTTAAAAAGGAATTAATTTAAATTATATATTTTCTTATAAATAATCTTCATCTTCGTTTTCATCTTCAGAATCATTGAAATCTAAAGGAATCACTTATAAATCATTAGTATCTTCTATCACTAACTATTAGTTTTTTTCCTAGACTAACAATTAATTATGTTCCTATGTGAACTATTAGCTTTCCTACTATCCAAAATTAATAATTTCTTAATTATTAGAATAATAATTATCCTAAATTATATTAGATTAATTTTTTTCTTGGGATTAATTACTTTCTAATTTTTAATATTATTAGTCTTTTTAAATATTTTATGTAATTATATCCTATTTAGAAGATATTTTCTTATTTTCCTAACTTATACAATTGTTTTCATTATCTGAATCACTAATCTCTTCTATATTTGAGTAAATTTTATCAACTTTCCCTTTATTTTTAACTATAACCATATTCCTTAATTAATTCGGAGATTTATAATCATTTAACTATTCCCAATTAAGTGGTACTATATACAATTTTTCTTTAAGTATATCCTACATATACTAAGCCATTTTTTTCTAATATTTTATTGTACAATGATTTTCTAAAGATAAAATAATAGGATATTAACTATATTTAAACCCATATTCATTCACGCAATTTAAAATATCTTTAAATAGCAATTTAGATGTTAATGTATATCCATGATATACTGTTGGTTCATCGTTTGCTCCATCCTATTTTTATATATATTTAATTTAGAGAAAATATAAATATATTTAAAGATACCCAACAATCTAATTCTACACATCTGCAACCTTTTTAAAAAGCATTAATATATGCTTAAATAGAGGATTATCCAATTAATTAATTTGACATTAAGTATGTATTATGGGATGAGTTAATGAAATAATCTGTCAATGGATGATCCATATCCTTTAATATTATAACTTATAAATAAAAAATAAATTTTACTTAATGTATTTCTTGTTCCATAGGGTTTAATATATTATTGTTTTCATTAAAAATAAGATTACTAAATTAATAAAATTCTATTTTTAGATTTTATTAATTATTATCTAAACATATGCTTTTGAATATTTCATGAACTTTATTTATAGGTACTTATTCCTTTTATTCTTTACTCAAAAATTATTAATATTATTCAGGCATCATAAACCCGGATAATGAGTATTTATTAAAAATTTCCTATAATTCTATTTTTTTAGAAATATCTCTAATTATAAAAACTAGCTCTTCTTATTCAATTTAGCCGTTTTTATTTATATCAAATTATTTGAAAATTTAACGCAAATATTTATCATTTATACTTATTTGTAGGCTTTTTAAAAGTTAAAAAATTTCTTGATAATCTAATTATCGATTTCCATCAGTATCAGCATTTAAAAATAAGTTCTTAGCCATATATTTTATTTAATCTTATTATTTTTCACTTTATAAATATTATTTTTTTAATTTTTTTATTTATTTTTTTACATTATTTCGATTTCTTAGGCTTTTTCAATAAAAAAATTAAGTCCTTATTAAAATGTGATTTTATCGTTTTCAGAAAAAAATTCTAAAAGAAGTTTATATTTAGAAGATTATATATAAAAAAGTTTTTTGGGATCTCTATTTTTTAATGTATAGTTAGATTGTATCTATTATATATCAGTTAATAGAATTCTTGATTGTGTGTATTTTTTGTTATCAGAAAGCCATTGTAAATATTTAATATCATCATTGTATATAAAGAATACTTTTTTTTACTTTTAGTTTATTTTTGATTGTATTTTAAACATTTTATTCCATATATTATATGGTTTACACTTTTTAGTATTGATAAATTATGGGGAATATTTACAATCGTATGTTTTTTCATTTTTTTTTAATTTTCAGACTTTTGCTTATATAGATTATTTATTTTTTAAAACAAAATAATTATATTAGTTTTATAAATAATTTTTTATAAAAAAGTTCTTAAAGAAGAAAAATTAAAATATTTAAAAATTAAAAAAAAAAATCTAAATATATATATATATATATATATATATATATATATATATATATATTTATATATATTTATATATATATATATATACATTTTATTAACAAATTTTTATTCTAATAAATTTATTTATAAAAAAAAAATAACTTCGTTTCTTCAATTTGAAAAAAATAATATTTTTATTATATTTAAAACAACATTATATTTTTTATATTTAATTTATCTTTCTTTAAAAGAAATTCAAAAAAAAAAAAAACAAAAAAAGAACAAAAAATGAGTGAAGCAACATTCAGCTTGACAGGAGTTGATGTGGAAAATTAAAAATAAAAAAATTTAACAAAATCGAATTAAATATAAAAAAATGATGTCGCTATAAAAGTAAAAAAAGAAAATTATATTTATATTATATGTACAAATAAATCAATAAAAAAAAAAGAAACCTGAAGAAAAAAAAGAAGATATTCAAAAAAGTTAAAATAAACTTCCTTTGTTAAATGATTAAAAAAACTAAAAAAACATGCAAATTTTTTAATAATAACAATAATAAATAATAAATTAATAAAAGGCTTCTCGTGCAAAAACATCAATCCATGGAAATAAAATAATGTAATTGAAGTAATTTTTAGATGTAGAAATACAAAAAGAAGATCGAGAAAAGATTTCTTAGAAATCTTCGAAAAAACAATTAGATCAAAGTTTATAAAAAAGATGGGAAAATGAGCAAGAATTTAAAAAAAGGAAAAAAAAATAAGTAGTAGATACATATAAGAGTAAAATTATAACTGATTTCGATAATTTGTATTTACAAGATTAATATGAAAATGTAATCGAATAATTGAAAAAATTGAGAAAAAAAGTAAAGCTTTAAGGCGAAATTTAAAGAAATGAATAGATGTTAATATAAGATTAAAAACATTTTAATAAAATTAAATATGAAATTTAATAAAAGGAAAAAGAATTGTAAGGTATATAAACTTAAATTTAAAATTGTACTATTGTTTTTACTACTGAGGAGGAGAGAAAAAAATTAAGTAATTTAGAAGCATAATATTAAGAATTTAGTTCAAGACTAGATGATGAGTAGGCTATTTAAATGTCTTTAAAACACATGTAGGAAACTAGAAAGTAATTACTTTTATACGAAAAAAAATAGAGCGAGTTATTATATGAAGAATATATGAAAAATAAAATGAAATTGCATTAATGTGAGTAGAAAAATATCATTTATAAATAAAAATAAGACAATATAAATAAACAAATGTCTATGTATTCAAGAAAAGGATTTAAGTTGCCTTTGAAGTTTTAGGAACTTTTGGAAGACGAATTAAGTGAATTTGAGGATAAAAGAGCTCTTTAGGAAATTTTCAAACACGAAAATAAAAGAAAAGAGGAGCAACTTTAATAAGAAATATAATAGAAAAAAGAAGAATTAAAAAAATTATAAATGGAAAAAGAAAATTAAAATAATAAAATTAAATAAGAAAAAATTAAGGTAGAGAAAATATTGAATTAGAAAAGGTAAAATATGGAAGGGCTTTTGAAAGTTTCATGTGTCTCAGAGATTGGGTAATTGGAAAAACATAAAAAATTCATGGAAGAAAGTAATTAGGATTTGGAGTAATTTAAGTAATATTATTAAAATTAAATAAAGACTTATACAGAAGAAATTATTAAATCTAAACAGGAATTAGAAATTTTAAAATATATTGATAAATTAAATAATAATAATTCAGCATTAAATGAACATTAAAATAATAATAGCGAATAAAATAATCAAAATGTCAATATTGAAAAATATGAGTAGATTTTAATTGAAGAATAGGATAAATTATAAGATAAAGAATTTTAAGTGAAAAAATTGGAAAAAATTATCGATTAAATCTGCATGGTTACAAGTAGGGTTTCTTATTAGTTATAACCCAAAAATATGAAGAGTAAAAACATTGAGGTTAAAAGGGAAGATTTGATTGATTAAATTACATTGTGTGGGCTTAAGTTAGAAAAAATAATAGCTTTTTTGGCTAAAAAAAAAGATTCTTTAAGGGTTGAGAGTATTAATACTGATGCTGAGAACTTTTAGCCTCCTGATTATGTAGGAATAAATCCTATTGATTATACTAGACCTAAAGAAATCGAAGATATGTAAAACTTTTAGGAAAGTGTCTTTTTTGATTATGTGGAAAATGATCCAAATGATGTAAAAGAAGAGGAATTTATTAAAACTAAAAGAGATAAAATTAAAATTGGTATAGTTGATAATAATGAGTGATTTTCTTTTTTTTGATTAATAAAAATTATTATGTTATTAAATAGTAATTTTTTATTTGGAATAAAAATAAATATTTTTTAATTTAATACTATAATTTTACATTTAAATAAATTTTAAATGATTATTTTGTTTTTTATTAAAATAAAATAAAAAAAAAATTAATATATTTATCAAAAAAATAAATATGACATAACTATCACATGATTTTGCAAAAAAAATTCTTAATTGTTAAATAGAAGTAGAAATGAATACTTAACCAGATATAAAGTTATTAAATGATTTAATAGAATTATATACTTAAGGAGTAGGGTATTATGAAGCTAAAGGTGACAAAAAATACAAATATTTTCATAAAAAATTAAATAATTTACTTATAAAACCGAATGTATAAAATGCTTTAGCAGCATAATTGAAAAACTATGAAAACAATGAAAAATAAATATAAAATAATATAAATGAAAAAGAAGATAAATAATATAAATTACAAAATAATGATGAAATTGACAATTAAATAATAAAAGAAAATTAATAATAATAATAATAATAATAATAATAATAATAATAATAATAATAATAATAAAAAGTAATAACATTATACAATAAAATATATAAGAAAATATAAAAATGAATTTAATTTATAGTTTAGAAAAGACATAAAATGATATGCAATATTTATTATAACTAAATTCAGTAGATTTATAAAAAACATAGGATTATATAAAAAAGCAATTCGATAATTAAATTGATATTTTATAAAAAAGGCTACTAGAAAGAAAAAAAAAAAACCAATTAAAAACACTTTCTTTGACTTTTTAATCTGAGCCATCTTTAGGTGATGCAGATACTATGGTTTTACGAAATAATTTTAATGATTTTGAACCTATTAAGGAATCAAATGAGGAATTTGAAGAAGTTAATATGCCTGGTAAGAAATGTTTTTAGAAAAGATAATTTAAATTTAGTATAAAAGACGATACTGCAGTTGATATTTTGAATAAAAGAAATCGATAGCCTAAATAAAATACATTTAATAGATAAAGGCTCAATACTTTATGCTTTGTTAATAAAAATATGTCAAGGAAAAATACTTTGATATCTGTTAAATAATTGTATATTAATTATAGATCAATGTCATTAAATTTTAAACATGAAAATAAATATTTTGACTGACTTTTAATCTGTTCTTTTTAATTATATAATAATATTTAATTTTTTATTTATAAAAAATATAAATATTATTTATTTTTCTTTTTTTAAAAAAATAATAAATAATTATTAATTTGCGATTTTTTTATTTATTTTCTTATGATTAATTTTATTCAGATTATTATATATTTTATAAATAAAAAAACTTGTTTTTAGTATTATAATTTTCTATATAATTTATAAATATTTATAAGAAATAAAAATATAAACCTATAACAAAAAATCATTCAATAAAAGCGATACTAGCATAAGTATGAATTCCACATTACTTCTTTCCTCTCGCCAATTTAAAATATCCATCCATACCCCAATCTTTTCCCCATTAATTTTTAATAATCCAATATTTCTATCCATCCTTTTCTACTCCATACCCAACAATCAAAATTGCATGATTAATATCCGAATCACATTCTTTAGGGTCAAATATACCACTTTTATAAAATTATAATAATCTAGCATTTACACCTGCTGCTATAGGTCCATTTTAGTAAAGTTATTTTTTGATAATTTCCTCATCTTCATCGATTTACTACCATTCTTTAATTTTAGCTTATACTTTATTCAAATCAAATTTGCATTTTTCTTTCTTATTTTTATAATCCCCATAATCTTCAGCCTTTTTTTATATATATATTATTATTTTTTTACATATAAAATATACAAATTCTAATCCTCCGGATTATTAAAGATATTTGTAAGCATCAGTCATTAATCCTCCATGACATCCATCATTTATATCATCACAATCTACTAGTTATTATTCAGAAAAAGGGACTAGCTTTTAATGCTTAATTGCATATTGAGATTCTATGACTCCTGTAGTAGAAAAAGTCCAACAACTGCCACATGTATTTTAGTATTTAGGCTCTGTTACTACGTTTCTGTCTCTCCAGTCGAATTATTCAGGTACATTTTCTTCAACAGTAATATCTTATTAAATTGGTGTTGTAAGTTTTTTTGTTTCTTTTTTTACTTATAAAAGTTTTTTTTGATTTAATTTTAAGTGCTTTTAGGCAAATTATTGAGGAGATAAGTCTGAGAATTTTGTATGACCAAAAACAGCAGAATTTTTAACTTAGAAAGATTAATGTTGGTGTATATGCTTTTGGTTTTAGTAGAAATTTTAGAGTGATTCAAAATGTTCATTTGTTGAAATATATTATTTTTAATATTTTTGCTTGAAATTGAAGAAATCTAAAGACGAATTTGTTAAAAAACAATAATATAAATTTAAAAATACAATTATAATCAATATTTTTTTCATTTTTAGTATTTTTTTTTTTTTTTTATAATAAAGATATTTTATTTATTAAAATAAATTTGTTATATTTGTTATTTATAAAAAATAAAAATTAAGGTAAAATTTATTTTAACCCGAAAAAAAAAAATATATGTATTTTTATAAAATATTTTTTTTTTCAAATTTATAATTTATTAGTAACCCATACACCATTAATAGGTTACCTATTTAAACAGAAAAACGTCCCTGGTCCATTAACAAAATCTTTTTGGAAAGTTCCTGTAAATTTTTCACCATTAGACAAATATAAAGTACCAAATCCTTCCTTATTATCATCCTTGAATTACCCATCATATTTAGTCCAAAACTCATCTACATTATCGAAATTAGTATAATCAAAAGGCCCTTATAAAACTGCTGGATTTTCATTATAAAGTATTCCAAAGCCTTCAAATTTATCATCTACCCAATCTCCGTCATATGCAGGTTTTCCACTAGCATAGCTAAGAACTCCTTTTCCATGCATTTTGTTTTCTTTCCATTCCCCATCGTATAGGCCACCATCTTAATAAAAAAATTTTCCTCTGCCATGTCTTAAGCCGTTTAATTTTTCACCTTCATATCGTGAATTATTTTGATAATTTTCGATTACATATTCTTTTTATTATTGGTATTATTGATAAGAATTATTTTAGATTTCTTTCGTTAATTCGAAGCTTTGAAGAGGAAGTTTTTGCATGAATTATTAATTATAGTCAGCTTTTTGGTAATAATCTTATTATTATTAATTTTAGTTTTGGGGTTAGAGTTATATTTTATAATCTTGATGCTAATAATCTAAGGATTATGGTTTGTATTAAACATCATCTTATATTTATTAATTTCTGAATTTTTTAATATCTCTTCTATTTCTTCAGAAGCTGTATTTTTATATATTTATTTTTTAAATATTATATTATATAAATATTATTTTTTGTACGTTTGTATGCTCCTTATTATTCTTAAACAGGTTTTACATTATTATCTTTAATAATATTAGTAGTATTAATATTTGGATTAAGTGCTCTTTTAACTAATTCATCAACTTCTTCTTTTTTTATAGTATAATTGTTTTACCCTAATACATTAGTTTAAATATTCGATGTTTATTAAGAAAGGCCAGGAATATACTAAAAGTTATCATTTATTCCATAAGAATTAGGAATTCCTGTTAAAGGTTTATTCTAAATGTCAGTATTATTTATATATTAGAAATTATTATAAGGATTAGACTAAGAAGTATAATTCTAATTAATAATATTTGGGTTAAAATTTGATACTTAGGGGTTTGGTTAACTAAATTATTATTAATAATTGCTTTCTATTTATTATTATTATACACTGTTTTAGTAACTATTTTGGTAGTTAATTTATATTTATTTTAAATGATCTTGATTATCTTCTTCCATATTACTTTCTTAAGGATCACCTCCTAAAGCATTTCCTATATTATCATCTGGTTTTGCTATCTTAGATGTTGCGTCCTAAGGAATAAATTTAATAGTGCTTCCTACATCTTCATTATCTTTCATCATAGAAGGAGCTATTTTTGGTTTTGAAAGTGTGGGTTGCTATTATTAAGTACGACTTTGTTATTAATAATATTATTGTGATTGTAATTATACTTAAGGTTGTATTTGAGATTTGTTTCTTTTTGTATCTTCAGATTGTAAAGGAATGGGATTTTATAAGAATTCTTGTTTTGTTACATATTATTATTATTAGTTTGATAGTTTTTACTAATATTATTATTATTATTATTATTATTATTATTATTATTATTATTATTATTGTTATTGTTATTGTGTTATTTATTGTTATTGTTTTTATTTTAAGGGTTCCTAATATTAGTTAAATTGTTATATTTATTAATATTATGTCTATTATTATTATGTATATGTCTAAGCTATTACTTATTATTATTATAAATGATTTTATTATTAAATTTAAGGAATCTATTATTAAATTTAAGATATTTACTAATGGGTTTATTATTATATTTTAGGAGCATATTATTATTAAGGGAGAGGTATTTAAGTTTAATTATTTTAAGTATTAGGCATATTTAAAATACTATCAAGAAATACAATATCTTGCCTTTCATCAGGATTAAAATTAAGCATGATTTATAAAAAACTATATAAATTATTTCCATATTAAGCTTTTACCTTATTTAAATGTTAATTGAGGTTGTTTTATTTAATAGAAAATTCTTTATAATCATAACAATCTTCTAAAGGTTGTAGATTGGCAGCATATAATACACACATTCCAAGACTGAATAAATCACTTTTTTATTAATTATGGTTAGGAGACCATTCTTATTATTTCAAGCTTCTTATTAGTTCGGGAGATAAATATCTATGTTATTATAATTTTGAATTGTTAGATAGAATATCTTAGTACATACTTATCTATTAGAATAATTAAGGGTCTATGACTTTTACGAGACCTTCGTTTGTAATGTATATGGTGGATGGCTTAATATTTTAATGAGAAATTTTATTTTAATATAAATAAGATAAACCATTTATTGTTTGGCTTAAAATATTCCATAATTCTTCTTCACTGAACTTTTGGTTTAATTCATTCCTTTTGTCGATTTCTAGTTAAAGGGAGTTTTCTATAAATTCAAAAACTAAGTATATTTTGTAAAATGTGGAACAAAATTAACTTTCAGTTTTTTATATGCATTCTATTTTTTTATTTTTTTTATTATTTTTTAATTTATTTCTTACTTATTAATTAGATAACATTTGTATGTATTAAGTTTTATTTTAAAGAATATATAGAGAAATTTTTTTAAAACTCTTCTTCTCCGGTAGTATTTATTTCTCTTAAAATGGTTTACTTTCCGCTTGTTTTTTCTTTTAGGATTGTACATTCGCCATATTGAGGGTCGTTTACTTTTTTTACTATAGTATTTTTTACAAGTAAGTCTTCATAGCTTTCTGTATTTTATTGAGATTGTTCTGCTCCCATTATTTTATTTAAAAAAAAATATTTTCTTTTCTTATTAATGTATTTTTATATTTTTTTTTAAATATAATATAATTAAAATTAAAAGGAAAAACAAAGATATATAAATGTTATATATATATATATATATATATATATATATATATATTACTAAATTATATATATATATATAAATATTTGTTTATTTTTCAATATAAATAAAAAAAAAAACAACTATTAAAAAATTTAAAAGAACTCTTTAATATTTATCAAATTTATATTAATCAAAATTGTATTCAAATATTTAAATTTTGAAAAAAAATTATTTAAAATAAATATTATTAAAAAAAAAAAAATTAAAAAATAACTAAAAAAAGTTATCATAAATAATTTTTATAAAAATATTAATTTTTTATTTTACTTATTAGTCATTGAAATATTTATTTTTTATATGCATTAAATATTAAATATTTATAATATTACTTTTTTTATTTTTATAATAAAATAAAACTATTTTAATATTTTTTATTATTATGATTATTTATTATAATTAAAGTATTTTAAAATTATAACTTATTATGTTATGTTTTCAAATATATATTTAGTTAATATATTTTTCTTTATGTAATTATTATTATTGTTAATTATATTTATATAAATTTAATCAATATTAATTTAAAAAATATATATATTATTTTAGTAATTTTATTTATATCCAAAGTATAAGATATGTAAAAGTATAATAATTATATAATATATTTTAAAAATATATATTATATTATAAGATAATCATTTATGCATTAATTATATTGTTGAGAAACAATTTGAATACAAAAACAATTTTTACTAAATATATATTTTATCATGCAATTAATGTTAACAAATATTTTTATTTATAAATTATTTTCTAATTTTATATAAAGCATTATTATATTTTATAAAAAAAAAAGATTTTATTAAATTAAAAATACAAATATTTATATATAAGTTTTTATTTCAAAATCATAATATTTTTTTTTCTATTTTTAATATTTATTGTATAATAAATAAAAAAATAATTAAAATTTTATGGATTAATCTCAATTTTATTAATTGAAAAAATATAAAATTGTAATTTAAATTTAAATTTACAAGATAATTTTAAAATAAGAATTTAACAATAAAAAGCTTTTAAATATTCTTATATAAAAATAAATAATATTATATAGATAATCAAAATTAATTATTTTTATATTTGTTTATAATTACGAACAATGTTTATTAATAAATATTATATTAATATAATTTTTTAAAAAAACAATTATAGTAAAAAATAAAAAAAAACTCCTATATTATTATATATATGTAAAAAAAATATATAGCAATATAAAATAATAAAAATAAAATATTAATTAATATAATTATAGAATTTATATTTAGTTCAAAAAAAACTTATATAAAAATTATATTATTTATAAATAAAAATTTTGAAAATTTATTATAATTTCAAAATTTACGAATAAAAATATTATGATTATTTATAACTAAATATTATTTAATAAATTTTATTTACTGATAAGTATATTGTATAATTTTTAAATATAAATACAAAATATATTATAAATTACAATCGGCATAAAGAAAATAAATTAATAATTTATTAAAAAATAAAAATAAAAATAAAATTCAAATATTATATATATATAATTTAAATAATAATTATAATCATAATAATAAATATATTTGATATTTTTATATAATAATTAAACATTTTTTTTTTAGTATTTATTATTTTTATTTAGTATTTTGTAATTAGAATTCTTCATTTAATATTTATTAATTATTATTTATAATTTGGTATTAATATTTTCATAAACAATAAACAATACTAATAAATATTTATTTTTATTAATATTGTTTATATTTTAATTTTTTTATTATTTTTTTTTTATTATTTATATATATATCTACATATTAAAATTTCATTTATAATTATATTAAAAATTTATTTTTGCATAAAATATAAAAAAAATGAAAAAAGAAGTAAAAAGAAAATTAAAAAAAAAATTTCTTGAAGATGGAGTTGAATTACCTCCAATTTCTCAAATTTAAGAAGAAGAAGAAGAAGAAGAAGAATAAGAAGACTAAGAAGAAGAAAAAGATTAAATAAATGAATCTCCTTCTCAAAAAAAACTGCATAAAAACTCTATTTCCCTAAATTAAAAATTAACTCAAATTTCAGTATAACAACTTTAGTTAATAGAAATCGAATAAATTCGAGAAAGATCAAAGGCTATAATTTAAATTCAAATTACAACTTCAGATGAGGAAGAAGAAGAAGATGAAGAATAGGAAGAAATAAAAAAAAAATTGGAAGAGGAAAAAATTGCAATAAATACTAAATTAAAACATTTGAATTTTAAAAGATAATAAATAAAATCAGAATCTAGTGAATAGGAAAATGAATTCAAATTTTTTAACTATAATGATCAAGAAACAGAAGTTTAAGACCTTTCAGATGGTTCAGAATAATAAAAAAAAGAAAATTTATCCTAAGAAGTTTTGTCTAATGAAAGTATTGATAAAGATATTGAAACTTAAGACATATTTTTGGATAGTATTTAAGTAAAAGAAGATGAATAAAAAAACAATTAATAAAGTTTATAATAAATTTTCTAAAATGAAAATAATAATAATAATGAAAGTAATATTAATTTTACAGAAACAGCTCCTTTAGCAAAGAGAATTTCGTAATCTTAATAGAATAAAGTACCAGAAACATCAAATTAAAATATAGGTTTAAATGAAGATGATAATAATAATAATAATAATAATAATAATAATAATATTGTAAAAGAAAAAAATATTAAAAAAAAAAAAAAATTTAATTGGAGTAATTATATTAGATTACTTTGGTATCTAAAAAAATAATATAAATTAGTCTTAATAGGTTATTTTTATGTAATACTTTAATCAATTACTTAAATTTATATTCCTTCCTTTTCCGGTAAGTTATTAGATGCTACTACTCACGAATTTAGTATGAAAAATTTAAATGATATTGCTTTATATGCCATTCTTTTATATTTATTAAATTCGACAAGTGCTTTTTTTAGAACCTGTATATTTAATGTTATTGGAGAAAAAATTGTTAATGAATTAAAAAATGAATGTTTTGAGAAATTTATCCTTAATGATATTTCTTTTCATGATAAATAATTATCAGGTGAACTAGTTAGTAGATTATAAATTGATATAAGTAATAACTTTTTTTTAATATTAAAATATTCTTTTTATATTTATAGTGTCATCTAAATCTGCTGTAAGTAGTAATATGTCAAACGGTATTAGAAATATATTTATTTGTATAGGAAATTCAATTATGCTTTTTAAGATTTCAAAAAGCCTTTTTTGTATTATAATTTTATTAATTCCTATATTTTTAATAATTTCTGGTGTATATGGCCGTTATTTACGAAAAATCACCAAACACTATTAAGATTAATCTGCAAAAGTAAATGCAAATATATCTGAATGTTTATAAAATATAAAGACAGTAAAAGCTTTTTCCTCAGAGTTAAAAATGATTGATAAATTTAAAAATATTCTTCAAGACTAATATAATTTAGGATTTAAGAAAAGTAAATCTAATGGACTTTATTCGGGAGCGATTTCTTTCGTTACAAATATTGCAACTTTGAGTGTTTTATGGTTAGGAGGGTATTTGGTGTTAACTAAAAATAAGTTAACATCGGGAGAGTTGGCATCTGTTATTTTATATACAAATTCTTTGGCTGATTCTTCTGCTTCTATTAGTTCTTCTTTCACCAAAATTGTTACTGCTTCAGCTTCTATGTCCAGGCTTTTTAAAATGATCGATAAATAGCCCAAAGTAAAAATCTAAGGTGGGCTTTAAGTTGATTTTCAGGGGAAAATATAGTTCAAAAATGTAGACTTTTACTATAAATTTCGCAAAAACTAACCTGTTTTAAACGAATTGTGCTTAGAAATTTTGCCTGGCGAAAGAGTAGCATTTGTTGGTCAAAGTGGATGCGGAAAATCAACTATTATTAAGCTTTTGGAGAGATTTTATGATGTAAAAAAAGGTGAAATTCTTATTGATAATATAAATATTAAAGATATAGATATTGTATATTTGAGGTAAAAAATAGGTATTTAAAAATAAATAAATAAAATAAAATTATACATATAAATATAAATATATAGGATATGTAAGTTAAGAACCATTACTTTTTCAAGGTAGTATAGAAGAAAATATAACATATGGATTAAGAGGAGCTTATACTTAATAATAATTAGATTAAGCCTGTAAATTAGGACATTGTTATGATTTTATACATAACGAGAAACTTTTTCCTTAAGGATTTAAAACTATAGTAGGAGAAAGTGGCTCTAAATTATCTGGTGGTTAAAAATAAAGAATTGCAATTAGTAGGGCACTTATTTTATAACCAAGAATTTTAATTTTTGATGAGGCGACAAGTGCATTGGATGCTGAAAGTGAATTTTAAGTAAATTTTTTTTATATATTTTCAAAAACTTTTTTTTTAGGTTTAATAAGCAATAGAATAATTAATGAAATAAAAAAATGATATGACAATTATTATGATAGCTCATAGGCTTAGTACGATTGTAAATTGTAATAAAATTGTTGTTTTGAATAAAGGGAAAGTAGCCGAAATAGGAACTCATAAAGCTTTATTGTAAAAAAAAGGATAATATAAATAGTTATTTGAAAGGCAGTTATCGGGATTAACTATAAATTGAAAAATTTACTTTATAAATAATTTATTTAAAAAAATATATGTATTTTATTATATAATTAAAAATAAATTGTACTTTTATAAAAAAAAAAATAAAGATAAAATTATTTTATAAAAATATAAAAAAAAATATAGAAAATATCAAAATATTTATATCAAATATATTTTATTTAAAATAAAATTATATATTAAATGGATTATAAATTAGGGAAAGTGTCATAACATATTAATTTTAGTTGCCTTTTTAATGGTCTATACTAGATTTTATAATTGAGTTAACATTATATAATTCAAATTTTTTAATTAAGTGTGATATTGTAAATATTTTTATGTTTTGTAATTAAAAATATAAATAAATTAATAAATAAAATAAATTAAATATATAAATTTTTTAAAAAATTAATAAACATAAAAATATAAATTTGTAAATTAAATAAATAAAATAATATTTCATTCTTAATCCTGACTTCTCGGAGATAAATCCCATTTAAAAAAATCTTATAATTTTTTTTCAGATATAGGACTATAATCTTTTTTCAAAGACATAATTTATGATGTATTAGAGCTCATTTTATTAAGATTTTTTATAATTTATTATTTTTCTTCTATTGATTTTGAACTTAATTTCTAACTATTATTATTTTCCAATTATTATTTATCATCTTTTAATTATATACTCTCATTCAGATTGATCATTATTATTTCATCAAAATTAATAAAAGGATTAACCTTTTTATTTTCTTCTATAGATTATTCACTAATTACCTCATTTGTTTTTTTCATCTAATCATATTCTTCAATTGCAACTAACTTTTCATTACTCAATACATTTATTTAATTTTCATATTATTACAATTAAACTTAAAGTTTTTAAATTAATTATTCCATTTTTGTATTTTTTTCCTTTAATTCTGAAATTTATTAAATGGAAATTTATTGATTTGAAAATTCTTCATTCAAATGGTTAAAATTTGATTAAGAATTAAATTATATATTTTCTTAAGATTTTGCATTATGCATATTTTAAATAATTATATTATATTCATTTGCTATTTAATCTGATTTATTATTTTAAAAATTCTTTGTTTTCGCTGATTTAAAGTTATTAATTTTATTTGATTTATTTATAATTTTAGTCAAGCAAACCTAATGTGCTTTTCAAAATTTTACTTTCTTCGTCTTTTTTAAAAATTTCACTTTGTAACATTTGTGTATGCTTTTGATTTTTTTCATATTCTTCTTTGTATTTAATTTCAATCTTTTAAATTTCAGTTTTTAAATTTTCCCTTATGTTTTATATTTCACCTTCTTTTTAATTATTTAATTGCTTTATTGATTAAATAAGTTTAATTTTGCAATTTTCGATTATTTTTTGTTTGCTTGTTTCTTGAATTTTCTCTAAAAAATTAATTTTAGTTTATATTTATTGAGTTAATGTTTTTTTTAATAAATTTTTTATTTAAGAAATTTTTCTTTTATTAATTAAAGGTTTTTTGTGTATTTTTGGAGTTGATTTTTTTATATTTCTTCATATTGCTTTAGTTTTATAGAAAACTTTTATTTTATTTAATTTAATTCGTTTACTTTTTCGAGTTAAAATTTTCTTTTTAGTTTTAACTTGTATTCTTTTTTTAATTAACTTTTATTATTCGAGAATTAGTTTTATTTATTTAGTTTGTTTTGTTGCAATTCAGATATTTATTTTTAATATTCTTATTATATTTGCAATATTTATTCTTCATGTTTTTATTGTAAATTATTAATTTATTCTTCAAAATTATTTTATATTAAGTTTAGTTTTTATTTGTATTCTTATATTAATATTATGTATTATTTTACTTTTTCTTCATAATTATTTTATAATTAACAAGTTTTTTATTAATATTCGTATTGTTAATTTAATGTTTATTATTTATGTTTTTCTTCATAATCATATTATAATTAAATAATATTTTATTCGTAAATTTATAATAGTTATACTTATTATTATTAGATGAATTTTTCATTAGCATTTTTCTAAAAATCAGATTATAACTAGTTTATTTTTTATTCATATTCTTATTATAATAATTCATATTAATTAACTTTTTCTTGATAAATAAATTATAATTAAATAATTTTTTAATCATATTCTTATTTTTATAAAGATTATTCATCTAAATTAGATTATAATTATTTTATTTATTATTCATAAATTTATAGTTATAATGATTTCTCATTATTTTTATGTTCATAACTGGATTATAACTAATTTATTTTTAGTTCATATTCTTTTAACTATTATTATAAGGATTACTAATTATCTTTATCATCATGATTGGATTATAAATAATTTATTTATTATTCACCATTTAATATTAATTAAGATTATTCATTTGTTTTTTCTCCATAGCAACATTATAATTAGTTTATTTTCTATTTTTGCTTCTATTAGAATTAAGTTTATTTCTTATTTTTTTCTTCATAATTAAACTATACTAAATTAATTTTTTATTGGTGATCCTCTATTTATTAAATTTATTCTTAATTTTGAATTTTCTACTTATATTCTTATTACATTTATTCCTATTAACTTTAACATGACGAAATAATTTAGTTCTCATATTTTACTTATTAGTAATATAATTCTTAATTTGCTTTTTAGAGTTATTTTTACAAAGTAAAAGTTACTTAATGAATAAACTATTATTTATATAAAGAGAACAATTTTTTGAGTTTGGAATTTTTAATTTACGTCTTTGAAATAATTTCTTATTAATTTTCTATTTATAAAACTTCAATTTTTTTAATTAATTCATCTTGAAAATAAAATTTAATTTACTATTTTTCTAATTCAAGTTTTTCATGAAAAGCATTTTTTAATTTCTTAATTTTATTTTAAAATTGAAAATTTGATTGTTTATTTTTTTCATAATTTAACATATTTTATTCAATTTATTGTTAAAAATATTAAAAAAGTTTAATTTTATATTTATAAATCCCCATTTAAATTTTTTAAATTTAATTTTTTTTTTTTTTTTTCTAAAAAATTAAAATCTATTCCTTTTTTTTGCTTAAAAGTTCAATTTAGTCCATATTCTCTTAAATTAAATTATCTTTTTGCTTTATTTATTCTTATTAAATATTTTTTTCTCCTATTAAATTTTTTTTGTCTTCTTTTAATAATTAAATTTCTTATTCTAACTTTTATATCTATTTTTATAATTATGTATTGTTTAATTTTAATTCTTATAATTAATAGCTATATTGATTTTTGTTTAGATTCTCTGATTGAAATGTACAATAATTTTCTTGTAATTTTTCCATAATTTCTTTTAGTTTTTTAACGTCTTCGTTCATTTTTTTTACATAATTTAATATTTTTATTCTAGTTTATATAATTATTATTTATAGTTATCGTTTTTTCTTTTAACTGTTATATTTCTATATAATTTTGATCATTTTATTCATTACTTATATACTCAAAAGAAGTTTAAATTTATTAATTGCTTTTTTCATCTTATATTTTTAGTTTTTCTTATTTCTCTTCTGTTTTTAATATTTTAGTTTCTTTTTATGTTTTTAATTTTTCTAATTCTTCTTTTTATTCTATTTTTATTTATTCTAATTCTTAATTATTAATTTATTTTACTTATTCTAATTCTTTTTTTGCTATTCTTTTATTTCTTCTGTTTATAATCTTTAATATTTAATTTTTTCTTCTTATAAATTTAATGAAACAACTAAAAATTTTGTTTTTCTTAAATTAGTAATTCATCTAATTATTAATATTTAATTTGAAATTCATTTTCGATTTAAATCAATTTGTTAATATTTTTTGCTTTTTTATTTTTATATTTATTATTTAATTATTAAATTTTATTTTCATAAGTTTAATTTAATTCATTTTTTTAAGCAATTTCATTTAAATGTTAAGCACATATTTAATTAATAATTTTTTTCTTTTCTTAAATTATTTTATCTTCATTATTTGCAATTTATTTTTATAAATTAACTATTTCTTCCTTCAAATTATTAATAATAAATTCTTAATCATTTTTTTGTTAATTACATATTTTTAAGTTTATATTTAATTATTCAAATTTTTCATTAATATTTATTTATTCATTTTAATACTAATTTTATTTTTTTAAATTCAATATTTCTTCTTTTAAGTTATTAATAATTTTTTCTTAATCTTAATTTATTTTTTAATAATTAATTATGTTTTCTTTTAAATCATTAATAATATTATCATAATCAGTTTTTTAAATAATTATATTTTTATTTAATTCTTATATTTTTTCATTATTATTTTTTATTTCAATATACATTTCTTATATAATTTAGCTTTTATTTTAAAGTTAAGTATTTTTTAATTTAATTTATTCTTCTTCATCTTCTTTTTGAATAGTATAAATATCAATTTAATTTTATTCAATATTATCAAAATTTTAAGAAAACTATTATTTTAAGTTTATTTAATTAATTTTATTTTATAAATATTCTATTTATTAATTTAAATTTTCTATTTACTAGTTTTTTTAATAAATTTCAGCCTATAATTATTAACTATAATTTTATATTTTTTAAATCGAATTCTAATATTCAATTTCTTATAATTAAAATTGACTTTCATAGCTTTCTTAAATAAATTTTTACTAAGTTTTACTAAAAGATGATATTTCTTAAGCTTATTGCAGTATTTCTTATTTCTCATTTTAAATATTTTCGTTTTCTTATATAACTTTAGAAATTTATTCTTAATACTAAAATATTTATTTTTCTAATTAAATGTTTTTTTGCAAAATTTATTTGTTTTTTCCTTCAAAATCTTTAACTTATTCTTCCAAAAGTTGGATTTTTTACTAAAAATCTTAAATTTATCCATTATTATTTTATTCTTTCAAAGAAATTTAGTGTTCTAATTAAAGAATTTCGTTTTTTTATTAAAGAATAATATCTTTATTTATTTTGATTTCTTATTAAAAAAAATTTTCCAAATTTTAATTTTTTTAAGCAAACTATAACTATTTTTAATATTTTTCATTTTTTTCAAATTTCAAATTGTTTTCAAGTTCCTGAATCAAATTTTATTTATTTTGAATATTTTTATTATACAGATTAGCCTGTTTTTTATTTTGCATTTTTAAATTTTCAACTTCCACATTTAATTATAATTTTTTTTTGTAAAATAATTTTTTTATTAAAATATTTCACATTTATGTTTTTAATTTTCTTAATTTAAATTTTCTATTTTATTTTTTAATTCTTCATTTTCACATTCTAAAATGTAAATTTTCTTGTACATTTCTTAAATTTCGTTAATTGTTTTTTCATTATTTTTTTTATTGTTTCTTTCCAATATATTTTAGTTAATTATATTAAGTTCTCTTATTTGGTTTTCATAGCTTTAAATAACTTCATTTAATTAAAAATTACTCTAAATTAATTCCTAAAGCTTTTTTTATCTTCATCATCTTATTCTATCAAATTTTCTTTGCTTTCTAAAATACTTTCATAGTTTTGTATTTTTTATTGCATTTCTTATTATTGATATTAAAGGTTGGTGATATAATTTTAATATTTGGTATTTATTAATTTTATTTAGTGCTCGTATTATTATTTAATTTATAGTATTTATGATCTTAAGGCATTGTTTTCTACTTCTATTCCATCCATTTCGCTAAATAATTAATACGTGAATATATTTTAATCATTTGATTATTGATTTTTGCATGAACTATTTATATTTTATTTAGTTTTATTCTATGAGTTTTTCAAATATTCTAAAAATTACTTTGTGTTATTTTATTAGTTTATTTTTTTTATTTCTGTTATTTCTTTTTTTAATTTTTTTTTAAATAGAAATAAAAATTACATCTTTCATAATCTTCTATTTATTATTATAAAGAAGTTATATTATCATTATGTTTTTTTAACTTTTATCTACATGAGTGCTTTAAATGGATTTATTTTATGATAATTATTATTATTGTCCAAAATGGTAACTACTATATCTTTTTGTTTTTTCTTTTTAAGTACTTATTTATGGCACAATATTTTAAGAAATATAAGATTATTTAAAAGGAGGACTTTTTATTTGAGGACTTTTAGAGGTTTAATAATACATCAATGTATATTTTTAAAAAAATAATGTTATATTTATTTATTTGTTTTCTATTTATTTATTGTCGGAATAAAATATTGATTCTAATATATTGTTATACAATTTTTTTATATTTAGTTATTTTCTTTTAATAACTAAAAATAAATATATATATATATATATATATATATATATATATATTATTTTTAAAATAAAACAAGAAACTATTTATAAAAGATAAAATGAGATAAAATGAAGATAAAAATTAAAAAAAATGGATTTTTTACGATACCCATTTTAGTCGTCAAGATATTTTAAATTTAATAAATCTCGAAATAAATCCCAAAGAATTTCGCTAATATATAATATCAAATATATTAGTGAATTGGAGTCAAAAGGAAGCCAGTGAATATAGAAATGAAGTTTTTTTGAATTAATTATGCTAACTATATAGGTTTAAAAAAAAAAAATTAAAATAAATATATAATTATAGATATACGAATTACTTGAATTTTTTCGCAGAACAAAAATCAATTATAATGAGTTTGGCTTATGAAATATTTATTTAATCAATGGAAAATAAAATGACATAAATCGACTCTTATAATTTATTAAAAGAGGCATTATATTCTTAAATAAAAATATCTCATTAAGCCAATATACCAATATTTTAAAAAATTGATTTAGATAATATTTTGAATTTTATAAAGGGTAGTTTTTATAGGTATTATTCTTTGTATGAAATTACTATGACAAAATTTATTGATTTAAATATTTATACAAAATTTAAGTTCAATATAAATATACCTAATGTTTAAAAATTAGAAGAGGGTATTTTAATAGATAACCCTTAAGAAATTTCACTATTGCAATAATATTTTACTGATTAGGCTTAAAATAAAGTTATAGAGGAATAAAATGAAGAGGAATTTTAATAAAAAGTGGAAGAAATATAATAAGATTAGGTGGTTGTGAAACCTGTGAAAAGGATATTGAATGAAGATGAATTAAAAATTGAACATTATGTCGAAGAAACTTTAGAACCGTTTAAAAATAGTATGAATAATAAATTATAAAACGCATAAGAAATGGCTTTGTAGCAGGCTTAGAATATTATTAATCCTCCAAAAAAAAAATGACATATTTTATATTTATAAAAAAAAACAATATAAATTTAAATATACATATAAATATATGCATTTTTTGTATACTAAAAATTATAAAACTGATAAAAAAGTAATTTTTTTAATTTCGAAATTAAAATTTAAGAAATTAAATAATTTATTAGTTTTTATATTTATTTAAAAAAAATTCATTTTTTTTATTATTCAAAATTAAATTTATAAAAATAATAAAATATGGAAATATAAAATATAGAAAAATTCTAATAATAATAATGCAAAGGATGTTAAGATAAATAAATTTAAATTTTAGATCTTTTAAAAAAACTTAATTATTATGAAAGTAAATAAATTTAAATATTAATTCATCTTAAAATGTATTCATTAAAAAGGTTAATTAGCAGAATTAGTTTTAATTAGTGAGGAAGATCAAAATAATATTATTGAATTAGAAAAATATAATAATCTTTTTAAAAAAGAAATAATATAATTAAAATAAGATAAAAATAATTTAAAAGAATAAATAAATAAATCAACTTAATATGAAGTAAATATATTTATTTAATAATTAATATATAATAAAAAAAAAGATTTAATTATAAATTTAAAAAGAAAATGAATTAAAAAAATTATAAGAATAAAATAATATTATAAAAAATAAAATAATAGAATTAGAAAATGAAAACGAATTTATTATATAAATAAAAAGGTATTATATAAAATAAATTATAGATTATTTATTTTAATAATAGATAACTAGAATAAAACTAGAATGATTTATAATATTAAATTGATTAAGTAACTGAACAAATAATTTTTTTACAAACAGAAAATGAATAATATAAAAATAATTTAAAAGATGAAAAGGATTATATAAAAAACTTACAATAATAACTATAAGGTTATTTTATATTTTACAAAAATTAAAAAGAATAAAATATATATATTATAAATAAAAAGACAATAATAAGAAATTTAATATTTAAAAGAATCTTGAAAATCCTTTGATATAAGCTAAAAAAAATACTAAAAATCTTGAAAACACAATATAAGAATTTAATATAATTACAACTTAAATTAATAGTTTAGTTAAAGAATTAAATGACAAATATAAATTCAAATGTAGTTTTAATAATAAAAACTTTATTAGTTAAAAAATTATAATTCATAATGCTACACCTATATAAAAAAATTATAAATACGAAAAATATAATAGAGATTCAGGAAATTCAGTAAGCACAAATACATCGGACTTTTTAGATTGATATATTATTAAAAAAGATTAAAAATAATATATAAATATATAAATATATAAATATATTAAATAAATATATAAATATTTATATTTATATATATTTATATATAATTAAATATATATTTAATAAAAATTTTTATTATAATATATTTTTTTCTTTTTTTATTATTTATCATATATTTAATTCATAATATATATTCATTTTTTACTATAAAAAATTTATTTAATAAAAATGTTTTTTTTAATAATTATATTTATTTATAATTTTTTTATTCGAATAATTTTTATAAATTTCAACATATTTAGTTTTAAGCTTATATATATTTAATAATAAATCATTTTTAACTTAAATTATTTTATTATTTATTATTAATAATAATAAATTTTTACATAAAAACTAATTTTATTAAATAAAAAGTTTTAATAATAAAATATTTTAGAAAATAAAAAATCAAATAATTAGCTTATATTATATATAAAAATAATAATGAAAATTTAATTAGTATTATATTTTAATTTTATTTTTTAAAATTATAAAAATAATATAACTTACTGTTTTACAATTTATAATATTTGAATTTTATATTTATTTTTCATTAATATATAAATATTGTTTTAAACAATTTATATACATAAAAATTTAAAATTTAAATTATATTATAATTATTAAAATAAAAAATTATTTATATTTATATAATTAAAATAATAGATTTTTTATATCAAAATAAAAAAATTAAGTAAAACGAAAAATTATGAAAAAAAATAAATAAATTATAAAATGATATAATTAATTTAAATATAAGAAAAAATATTTTTAAAAAATACTATAAATATAAATAGATTTAGATATATATTTTAAAGTATTTATTAATAATAAAAAAAAAATTTTGAGTAAATAATACTAAGTAATAAATAATTGTATATTTATAAAAAATATAAATATATAAATAAATAAATAAATAAATAAATATATATATATATATATTTATTTATATATATACAATTTATTTTTTATATTTTTTTTTTTATTAGTATTCTATATAAAATAAGAAATATGTTAATATTTTAAAAAAGTTATTAAAATATAAATATATTTTAGCAAAATTAATTTTACTTTAATTTTTTTTAAAATAATTTCTATATAGCAATAGAGAGGGAAAATAAGTATTTTTTAGTTTCAAATTAAAATATATAAAAAGCATATGTATAAATTATAAGAATTAATAAACAAATTAAATTTAAAAAAAATATACATATAAATAAATTCATATATAAAATGTGGCTTTAAATTTCTTTATGTGGAGTTATCGCTAGTCTTATTTTGTATAATTTATTTTCTAGAGATAAAAAATAGGTGGAATATACTTAATATGATTTCGATAGTAAAACACAATATAGTTAAGAAGATACTCTTTATGAATGTAAAATATTTAAACATATTTTTTATCTATTTTAAAAATACTATAAATAGAAGAATAAATTATTTCTTCATAATACTTATTGGATAAAATATCATATAATGGAGATTTAAATAATATATAAGATGTGATAGATAAAGAGGTATAAAGAGATTTAGAAATAGATTTTAATCCAATAAATATTGATTAATATAAAGATATGTTAAATAAAACATAATAGAAGTAATTGTCTGATTTAAGTTTATAAATAATTAATGAAATGAAATTTATTTCTTAAAAATAAGATATAATTAAATGTAAAAAAATTGATAATATAAATTATATTATTTATTTATTTATTTTTAAAAAAAGAAAGTCATGTTTAATTAAACGTTACTTTAGCTTAATATAATAATTGTAAAGAAAATGTTATTAATAATAATCAAGATTTAATACAAAAAGCAGAAGACTTGTTAAATAAAAATTCGACAATTTTAACTCAAGAAAGCGCATTGGATAATTTTAATGATTAACTTTAAAAACTTAAAAATGATAACTTTTAATAAATTTAAGCATTAAATATTTAAATAGAAACTAAAAGTTAAGAATATAAATAAACTAAAAGTATTATAGATTAAAGAATTAATTAAACTCTAACAGTGTATTAAATACAAATATATTTTAATATTTTTTTTTTTTTAATATTATAAAAAATATTAGTGGATAGATATATTAAAAAGTAAAGGATTTAGATATTAAGAAAAGTATAATAAAGGATGAAATAAAAATAAATTAATAAAATAAATAAAAAAGTTTTAAAGATACTTCAATTAAAGAAAAACAAATCGATGATTTAATTTTAAGAAAAGATCAATTAGAATTTGTAAATAATATATATACATTTATTTTTGATATTTATTTATTATTTAAGGAAATTTAAAGATTAGAGTCTAGTGAAGAAATTAATAATATAATAAATAGTGTAAAAATAAAAGAACATATTGAAAATACTAAAAAACTTATTTAATCAGTATTTAAAAGAATTAATTTATTACAAATTTCATATCAAAATGCTAATATTAATAAATAAGAAACTATACACGCATTCTAAAATGATAAGTATTATGTAAAAAGTTAAGTTAACATATAAATTGAATTGATTAAAAGCTTCAAAAAATCTAATTTTACAATGTCTGGAAAACCATTATAAGATTTAAAAAGAGAATTTGAATATTTAAAAAGTAGTTTTTTTAATAATGTAATTTTATTTTAATATTATAAATTAGGTGAAATTAATACATTAGAAAGATATATTAAAATTGGCCCTTAAGACTATGATGAAGAAATTAATAAATTAGAAAGACAATTAAATGATCTTGATAAGGATATAGAAAAATTAAATAATAATATAAGTCAATAGTATGGAACAATTAGTAATTCTGATAATGATAGAAATTAAATTGATTTAGAATAAACTATTAAATAGCTAGAAAACAATATTGAAAATTTAAAAATCAAAAAATCTGTAATTTATTTTATTAAATAAATATATTTTATTAATTTTTTTTAAAATAAAAGAAATAATAAGCATAATATGAAGCCGAATAATAAGATTTATAAGATAAAATTAATTAAAAGAAATAAGATAATGAATAAATTAAAAAAAATTTTAGAGTGAATTGACAAAAATTTAATGTTATAATATTTTATTTTATTTAATTTATTTTTATTTGTTTATTTTTTCATAAAAAAAGAAAACGAAGAATAAATAATAAGATAACTGAATATTTGTAGAAACGAAAGGTTAGTTATCGATACTATATAAAATAATGCTATTTAGAATATTGAATTAATAAAAAATCAATGGTAAGATTAAAAGAATTGAAGGTTTTAGTTAGATAATTGTTGGATAAATTTATACCTGAAAAAAAGATTATAGATTTCGAATAATGAAATAAAAATATATTTATAATTTTTGAAAAAAAACAATTTTTATTTTATTTTTTAATTTTTCTGTATAAGTTTATTTTTATTAAATATATTAATTTTTTATTAATAATATAAAAATTTTAAACTAAAATTATATATATTTAATAAATAATTATTAATTTAAAGAATATAATAATTTTTTATTTAATTAAATAAAATTTTTTTAATTAAAATTTTAATTATTTAATATTTATTTTTTAAATAAAATATTAAAACTCTTTATTTATTTATAATTAAGAAAATATAATTTTTTATTTATTAAAATATATATAAAAATATTTAAAAAGTATATTAATAATATATGTATTATATTTTTTCTTTAGAAGAAAAATGAAATTAAATAGTAA